AATCAAAAATCGTTGCATCATGTATCCACATAAATTGATTTCTTCTTAACACTGACAACTTTGCAGTTCTGTTGATTTCCTCTTTGATGAACCTTTCTGATTTCAGTGCAGTGAAACCCACAAAAACTGACAAACTGTTGCCTTTCTGATGTTTTCAGTGTCTCTGATGTTACAAAGAAAACTGCTGCTGCCGAAGAATCAAAGGGCAATGCAGATTGTTGAAATAGATTGTTAGATAAATGATAGAGTGTGAGGTGAAATGCTATCTTTCAGATAAACACTCTTATGGGAACGATAAGATGTCCAAACAGGGTCTAAACAGTTTCATCTCAGGCTTAACATACTCAGAGTTTTTACTAATCCCGCTTTCTGGAATGGGGCCCGAACTTTGGTTTTGTATGCATTTTTTATTTCTCCTGGCTATTTGGGATCAGGATGACCTGATAAGTATAAAAAAATGAAACACTGTCAACGATAATAAAGTCCCAATGAGAGTATACTTCCTAATTAACAGTGTCTTAGCTTGTTACTGTTGCTTAAAATGGTCAAATGTGTTTTCATATCAAACTACAAACATTATTAATCACAGATAAACATGTTTCAGTCATAAAATGTGGTCAAGTTTTGGCCCTTGTCCACTTTTGTGCTGCAGACTGACTTGGCAGAGATGGCTGCCATCTTGTTTTTATATGGATTAGTGTGCTGTATTCTTACAACTACTAGATGGCACAAAAAAGGGATGGAAGTACTACTGGATTCTAACTGCAGATTCACTAAAGTAAGCAGCATTTTAATGTAGCTAGTTTTACTGCTGAGTACTTTAATCTAGAATTATGTATGATATTTTAATTACTGAATATCTGTTCTGCAAGTAAACTGAAGTAATCAGTTCCCAGTTGTCAAACAGCTGAAGTGGAGGAAAAAAGTACAGTATTTCCCTCTGAAATGTGGTGGAGTAAAAATAATAATAAAGTGGCATTAGATGGAAATGCCCAAGTGAAGTACAAGAACTTGAAAATTGTACACTGCCTGAGTAAATCTTCTTTCCAGCACAGTCACGTGTGAACATATGGGAAATACATATAAATCAAAAACATCCAGTTACCAAAATTCAAAGAATCATAAGAATTTTAAACAAAATTATGTATACAGAACCAACAAACCCGCAATTTATTGTGTTATAAACTCTAAACTTAAGAGATTGGGGAGATTTTAAAACAGTACAAATTATTTATGAATTAAAAAACCAAGCTTTAACTGATATTATTTCAAAAGATGTTCAAAATATGATATGACTCCAGAGGAATGTGCATGCTAAACATCCAAAGTGTGAGGATTAATGTGAAAATAATCATCTTTATTTCAGTGGTTTCTTGAACAAATAATCATGACAAGAAAGCTGGCAGTGGTATAACAGGAAGTGGTAGTAGCGTTAGTTTTTACATGATGTTCCTCAAGACAAATAGGTTGTATATTGTGGGCGCAGTTGTAGCTCCCACGTGCACCTTTTCAGTCTTTGGAAAATGCTCCATGTTATGTAATTGGGCTGTATTGTATTTTGGTGGTGTTTTACTTCAAGTAATTGTCTGTTTCTTTGTTTTTGGGAGTGATGACTTACAGTTTATTTACCTTATGTATGCATGATAATCACATTTAATAACACTGGGCCCAGCTGAGCATTAAAGCTGTGAGATTAAAGCAAACATAAGAGACACCTTATTTTGCACAACTTTGCTCGAGCAGCCAGCCGCAAAGCCCCAAGAGGCCATGGGAACAGTCCACCGGCCCTTTCACTCACATTCATTCAGCTTGGAATGAGCTAATCCACCTCGCTGTGATCACAAAAGCCCGTGTTGCATCACAAATCTCTTAACCTTTTACAGTTATGCACAGTACGTTTTTGTTTTGCAGTTATATATTGTTCGGGCCTCCTCTTTTTGTGTGTACGGGCCATACAGTGAGTGCAGTGTACAGTGACATGCATTAACCTCTGTGGTTCACAGAGGGTGAGTCAGTGATGCAGTGATATGATAAGGCTGTGGAGACTCACATAAAGAAGCTACAGGACACACTGGACAATGGGTTTCTAAGAACAGCAGCAGACGCTATAATTCATCTGGTCATCAAGTTTTAATGGTCCTATCTGTGCCTTTAATTAGCTGGACACATTCACCGGGTGACTACAACAAAAGAAAGCGCACAGGTGCCGTCCTCTGTTCACGTACATCCGCTTGGCACTAATGAAAAATTGATTGGCTAATAACACACGCTGAAAGTCTAATCCCTTCCACAGCAGCCCGCAGCATCTTCCACCTCCACGTCACTTGACACGAAACACAAAACAGTCTCAGGGTAGGATACAGATTTTGCATTATTAATTCAGGAGGAACATGTAAACAATCTGCTGTTTTTACAGAAACAGGGGCGTGTTTTAAGATGTGTGGTTAGTGAGTTTTCTTGACGTGTTTAAAGTCAGGGATTCACAAAGATGTCCAGATAACTCAGTAAACATGGGATACTTAACTTGCTTTAATAGGCCAAAATTAATGATATTTATGGGTATATATAATAAATGACTTGCCTGTTTTCAACCTTTTGACATCTGTTGTCTTCGCTTGTCTTTGCCAACAGCACAGAGGTCAATTGTGCACAGGCCAGGGGCCTTTCTAAGATTTGAGGACATTTGAGGACAGACACACCAAACTGTCATCCAAGAACTAGCAGAAAAGAAGGCCGATTGTTGTTTTGCCTCTCATCACCTGTGTCTCGGCCGAGAAGTTGCACTCGAACACTACAACCAATGTCCAACTAGCACGCACATTCTGCACCTGCATGAGACGAAATAACTCTTCATACCAGCAGGCGGTAGTCTGTAGGCATCATTCGAAAAGGGAAGCAGGGCAGGGAAGATTCAAGATGCAAGTTAGCCAGTTAGCACATTAACAACACAACCTGATGTTGACAGAACAAAGGATATCCTCCTGAGACCCTGTGACCTCATATGAGGACATCACATTTTGGGTTAACTGGACCTTATACTTCATTCTACTTAACTTCGACCTGTTGTCTTCGTTCGTGGACACTTTTAGGTGGCATCTAGTGGTAGTAAGAGCACAGTATAGTAATCCATGTATAAACAAGATGGCAGCCATCTCGGCCAAGTCAGTTTGCAGCCGATCCTGACACAAAAGTGGACAAGGTCCAAAACCTGATCACATTTTATGGTTGAGATTTGTTTATTTATGATTAATTGATAATGTTTGTAGTTTGATATGACAACAAATCTGACCAACTTTAGCAACAGTAACAAGCTAAGACACTTAATTAAGAAGTACGCGTTTGAAGACACTGGGATTTTATTATCGTCTCATTTGAGGACATTGGGACTTAATCGTTGTCTCGTTTGAAGACATTAGGACTTTATTATTGTCTCGTTTGAGGACATTGGGACTTAATTATCATCTCATTTGAGGACATTGGGACTTAATAATCATTGACAATGTTTCATTTTTTTAAACTTATCAGGTCCTACTGATCCCAAATAGCTAGGAGAAATTAAAAATGCGTACTGAACAAAAGTTCGGGTCTCAGGAGGATATTAACTGTGCCCTGGCAAACAACAACACAAGCAATTAGAAACTGTTTCTGCTGAAGAGCTTAAAAAAGTCTTACCACAGCAATTCAATATGCTCAAGTGGCCAAAAAAGCTGACAAGGGCAGAGTAGTGCCAAAAAATCTACGGCGAGAGACACTCACCAACAGCCAACTATCGGCTTGGTGTGTCGACACCCTTATCGCAGATCTGTCAGTGGGTCAGTGCTCTCTGACACCTTCTGTACATTAAAAGTACAAAAATACCATTCCTACTCTAAATTAATTTATTGTAATTGTGAGTTAGAGAACAGTCGGGAGGCCTGTCTACATCCTATTGTGGGCCAGATTTGGCTCACAGGCCGAAAGTTGAGTTCGGCTTTTCTAGACAGTCCCAAGGTGCACTGATTAACACATGCCAGAAACATCAAAACTGTGGAATAAATTTGAAGAGGCAGAGGACAACATGTCTAAAGGACTCCAATGCTCACTGCAAAATCAAATGTTTGTGTTTGGGGTCAGTTTAACTGGAGACAGGATACGTCAAACACACCTGGGGGGAACAAAGGGGGGACTTTGATGAACAAAGGTCAAAGGTTGATTAGGTTGATATACTTGTCAGCTGAAGGATGTTTATCGCTTCTAATGGTTTGAATACTCCATTGATGTCAGCTGAATGCTTAACAAATTGATCACCTGGCACAGGATATATGCAGGCTGTTTCCTCAGCCTTAGAGATAAGGTAAGGAGCTCGGACATCTGGAAGGAGCTCGGAGTAGAGCCGCTGCTCCTTTGCGTCTAAAGGGGTCATTTGAGGTGATTCGGGGATCTGATCAGGATGCCTCCTGCTGGAGGTGTTAGGGGCACATACCACTGGTAGGACGCCCCGGGGCAGACCCAGAACACACTGGAGGGTTTACATATCTCATCTGGCCTGGGAACGCCTTGGGGTCCCCCAGGAGGAGCTGGAAAGCGTTGCTGGGGAGAAGGATGTCTGGGGTGCTTTGCTCGGCCTGCTGCCTCTGCGACCTGGCCCCATGAAAATGGATGAAAATGAATGGATGGATGTTTTTTGAATTTAAAGGGTTTTTGCAGCAATGACATGCATGACTCAAACACTGCTGCCTTTTTAAGTAAGAGGCCAAAAAAGGGCACTGCTACGGTAAATATTTTCTGTCTCCTCATCCAAACAGAAAGCCAATCATACTGCAGGCTGCTGACCTCCTAATTCATGCCATCATGACCCAGCACACGTACAACTTGTCATATTTTTTGGCTATTTGGTAGTCCACAGCTGCCATCCAAACATAAGCGCTGCATACAGTGAAGAATCTGGAGTCAGCTCCATCTGTTCTCCAATAATATCCAATCAAAGTGGAAACACAGTGGTGTAAATAATAAGATAAAAGTGGTTGAAAGGTGTTTTTATTTTCAAATGACTCGACTATTTTCCATCCACATTAATTTGTCCAAAAGATGGAGTCCACGATTTAACCAAGTGCTTCCCATTTTTAGCCGTCTTGGTGCATTCTATATACAAATCTATATACACAACAACTTCATGATGTCAAACATTTGACAAGTGATGCTGCACGATCCTTTGGATTGGCAAACAAATAAGAAACAAAGGTTATAACCTTCTGCGATTAAAAACATCTCACAAATCAATTTCACATTTTGACACATTTTTTTTCTTTTTCCTCATAATTTTTAGAAAATAAAAAAAGCAGTGAAAAAACAAACCGTCCTGATTCCTTCAAAGTGGAAACGATCTGCAGAAAAAAAGGAAAGGCCTGGAGGCGATGAAGCATAAAATACTATGTACAATAAAAAGCGCAAACTACTATGCAGGTTTCGAGGGGTTCGTTCCTGAACGGGCTGCTGTTGGCGGCTCACGTGCCACTGGAGTCGGTTTTATTTGTCCTCTTGGTGAGTTGTGCTCTACTGACTGGTTACTGAGGAGTCACAAGCAGGAGCAAGGTTAGAGTGAGAACAGAATTCCCAAATGATGTTGCGTCATAAATACAGTATGTTGTGACCACTTAGTGATCGGTCTGTGGAGCACTCTGATTGGCTGGCTGTCCAGTTTTAATAGTCCAATGTTGCGATGGCACAGTGTGTCAGACCCCAGTGACCGTCTGGCTATTGTAATCCGTGGACTCCATTTTGAGGATGTATGGGATGATGCTGTCGATCTGCACGTTGCCGATGAGCCCGGCGAAAAACAGCTCCTCTGTGACGGCTGCACTTATCAGCCTGAGGGCAGGAAGACGCAGCAGCAGCTTGGATAACCTGAGAGCAATGAAAGGGAGAGAGACATAAAATTTGAACATGTACTGTAGCAGCTTCATTCATGGTATCGTCATAAATCTGTCTGTCAATGAGCTGGCCTTATGTTGTACAGACAAGTCTACTGACCGATAGGAGTCTTCTGGGTAAGTCCTGGTTACGTAGTCCTGCAGCTCCATGTAGGCCTTCTCCTGAAATCGCTCTATCTGTGGGGTGTTATCTATGCCTGGGTGATCTGGGGAAAAAAACCAACACAGTCAGACAGGAGTCCATGCACATTTGGCACTATGTAAGTGGTTCCCAACTGGTGGGTCCGGGTCCAAAAGTGGGTCACAGGTCCATTCTGAATGGACTAAAAGTGACTTGACAACATGTCAAATTTGTAAAAAAAAACACACTTTATTTCTAAGTACAATGAATTTCCAGCACAGAGCTTTTATTTTGAAGCAAGTGACTACTTGACAGAGATGTCAAATTAGCTTGACAACAGGGCCAAACGCCAGTACGATGCTGAATATATTTAACTGTTTGGACCCTGAACTACTGACTAAGATGAAATCTGGACCCCGTGGCTGGACCAGTTGGGAACCACTGCTCTAAGGGCTCCTGAAACACCAAGCTGACAGTCGGCCGTTGGTCACAGTCAGGCTGTCGGTGAGCATCTGTCGCCCTAGTTTTTGACATGTGTCCCGCACCGTTGGCACTAAGTGGCCCTTGTGGGCTTCTTTTTTGGCCGATTCAGCTTGCTGAATCTGCTTTTTAAGGGCAGTTTAGCTCAGTGCAAGAGATGAGAAGCACAAATGAGGAAAGCAAAAAAAACAGCTAAAGTAAAGAGGGTGTGAGATCTTTTTAGCCATTGTGCTTTTTGGCAGAAACAGTTTGTAATTGTTTGTGTTATTGTTTGCTGGCACATGGTAAGTATCCTTTGTTCTATCAGCAATAGGTTGTGATGTTAATGTGCTAACCTGCTAACTAGCATCATGTATCCGTCCTGTCGCCGTTTTTTAATAACAAGTTAGTTACATGCTTTTTGGCCGAGACACAGGCGATGTGAGGCGATGCAACAGTCGACATTCACTGTCACTAACGGCATTACTGATTCTGATCTAACAGGAGAACAAGAACTTAAGTAATTTTCATTTTGTAAACTGGGCAGTGGTCTACGCACCAGGACTGAAGAGAACGATGGCTTTGAGGTAGGCATATTCATAAGAGTCTGGGGTCAGCTTGGTCATGCTGTTACAGAACTCCTGCATCCTCCAGATATGCTCCATCACCAGTTTTACTCGCTCTGGGGACAACTTATCTGTAAGAGAGTAAAAAGAGAGAGGAAAATGTGAGGGGCAGAACATCAGTAAAGATACAAATTATGCCACAAAAATAAACCTGACAGATTTAAATATGTGCATGGCATGCACTTATTCCCCTCTGCATCACACTGAGAACCACTGTTTGGCCTTCTGGAACTGTATTCATGTGATAAACCTTTGAGGCTTTTAAGAGCAGAGCCGTCCTACCTTCCTGTAAGCTGGTCTGCAGATGGTTGATAATGGCACTTAGGATGGTACCAACATTCATAACGTTGGAGCACTGTGCCAGACCCAGGGCAAACAGCTCGTTCCAGCAGGCTTTCATTAAGTTAATATCATTGTCCTGACCGCTGGAAAATAATAAAATAAGAGTCATTTAAATTTGCTGCAGAGAACTGTGTGACCACTCAGGCTGTACCGAACAGAGATTTTAATGCTTCCAATATCTGTCGTTGTATTTTAGGACATAATAATCCACACAAAAGAAATTCCTCAATTTGAATAAAAATGATTTATCCAATTAAATGAGTTAGTCTTTTTTATTAAATCAACTTTATTTAATAACTAAATGTAATTTATGGTGCTTTTAGATTGATGCTGGACCGTCCTGTTAGTGCAGGCGCATGCCTCCCTTTGTGTGCAGCAAGCCGGAGAGCGAACTGTTTTGTGACCAAAGAGGAAAAGTTGTTTTTGAAAGACTTAACGGCAGCAACAATGGATTTAAGCAGAATATTTACTTCAATAAAAATGTGAATTTTGGAAATGATTACATCCATCATCTGTCATTTTTCAATTAAATGTTGACTTTTGGACTTAATAGTGCTCTAGAGTTGCTGAAAATCACACGAGCCGGACACAATCCTACACGACCACTACTGGAATTTAATTCTACAAACAGTATAATACTAATAATCTTTGTGTAACCTAATCTGAAAATGTGCAAAAAAAATTTGCTTAAATAGAAAAATACACATGCAAAAGAAAAGAAAGTAAGAAAGGAAAACGTGCAGACTGTCGATTAAGAATTCAAATGTCAACCTTAAGAATGAAGCTTTGAAATATTCGGTACAGCCCTGGTGGCCACATAAGGGAAACTTTATTACTTAACTGTCATTTTGTAACTGACATGCAACTAACTAAAAGGTGTGTTTATGAAACAATGACACATCTTGTGACAAAAGCTTACCCAAGTGTTTGAAATGCAGGGATGGAGCGAGCCCAGTGCATAGAGAGAAAAAGTAGCCGGGAAGCTGACTCACAGATGTAGTTGACATTGAGGTACTCTGGCACAGGCAAAGGCATCATAAGCTGTGGGAACACGTTGTAAAGAGAGAAACATGACCGCAGTGCTCCTCAGAAAAGTGTGTAACTCAGTAAAACTAAGCAGGAGTTTTGGTTTCGGGTTTCTTCCTGAGGGTAGAGGTCAGTGGCCGTGCTTTTACCTTGAAAGGGATATGGCTGTCAGAGAGTATAGGGCCCTCCAGCTCCACCACAGGACCTGACTGGTCCCCTGACATCAGCTGCATTGTGGCCTCCAAAGAATCTCCTGCTGTGCCGTCATTAGGGTGCAGGACTTTGGCCAGGGTGTCAAAAGCTCTAATGATACACAGAATATGAAAACAAGAATTTCTTATGAGCAATAATTTCTTAAAGTTAAATGAAGACAAAACTGCTTGTCGGCCCTAAAACAAAAAGATAAATGCTTCTTAATAATCTGTGGAATTTAACTCCCTGGATTAAATGATCCTTGATTCAGATCTAAGCTTCAAGCCCCACATTAACAAGGTAACGAAAATATCACTTTTCCACCTCAGAAACACAGCTAAGGTTCGACCATTTCTAAATTAAAGAGATGTAGAGAAACTGATTCATGTCTTTATTTCAAGCTGTCTCGCCTGTAACTTCAGACTTCAGCTCATTAAAAACTCTGCAGCTCAGCTATTAACCAGAACTAAGAAGAGAGAACACATCAGGCCAGTCTGAGCTGCTCTGACTACATTTCCAATTAATTTTAAGCTCCTCCTCCGTGTATACAAAGCCCTAAATGGGCTGGGACCAAGCTACATTGCTAACTCCCTTGTTAACTATTTGCCTCCAAGAACACCTCGATCATCTGCTGCTGCTTTATCGGTGGTTCCCAGCAACAATCGGGATGCGGCCTTTGTCAGTTACACCCCAAAGCTATGGAACACACTACCTTTAGATATCAGGGAAGCTAACTCACTAAATATTTTCAAAAGAAAGTCAATGTAGGCTTCAACTAGCTCTGACTTTCCTGACACAGGTCTGAAACTCTTTCTTTGTATGCTTCACACTTCCGCAACCCTTTCAGAATCGTACTTGATTTCATGATTTATAGTTTTACAATTCTCAGTTCTGTTTTATATCCATTATGTCTATTTTCATCTGAAGCATGCCCTGATTGTAAAGCACTTTGTGCTGCATTTCTTGTATGAAAGGTGCTATATAAGTTTTTTATTATTAGTAAATGTTAACATTAAGGATCCACGTTTTGAGTCAGACACCATATGTATTGTAGCTTCGACAGACAGAGAATAAACAGGATGCAACTCACAGCAGCACTGTGCTGACGCTCAGTGTATGGTTCATTTTGACTGACTATGGGTGAATCTAATTAAGTCCTTAAGACCGGAATCAGAGACCACATGGCCCTGCTGGAAATTCTATTAAAGCTTTGTGACAAACAGAAAATAACAGCCCCTGGGTTTCTCTACAGTGCTCCTGATGATCTCTGGTGTGCGTATCAACCTATTGAGAAGCAACTACCAGTTAGGATCAAAGCCTCTTGATTCTTTATGACATCTCCCTCACCGAGTGATATCACTTGCAGTTTGCTCATCCCCTTGGACGTCTGTCATCGAGCTGTCCCCGTTACTGAGCGTTTCGACTCCCATCAGATCATTGTCGCCTTCACTCGCCTCCCTGGCCTTGTTGAGGTGGGCGAGGGATGTCACGACATTAGCCAGCGTGCCGAGGTCACCTTGAGATGGGTCATCCTGCTGTATGGGTATCAATCATTAACAATGATGTATTCATAAACACGGATGTTCAAATTCATCTGTACAGCACTGTCTCTACTCAACAAAACATTTGTGCTCATCACTGAACTACTTCAAGAAAGAATAACAAAACCAGAACTGTTTAATGAACAGGAATTATTCCTTTCTTAATCATAATTTATCATTCTGATGTATTAAAAACCCCCTTATTCTCAGGGCTGGATTGACATGTCAGACTTCATTTAAATGTCATTTGACTACATTAGTCAGTGTTACCTTGTCGGGGGACGCTGGAATCAAGATGGTGTTTTCCAGCTTAGAGAAGGGCTGTTGGATGTTGAGCAACATGTTTGACTCCAGCAAACTTGTAGACCTGAAGTCAGAGATTGAACATTTCACAAATTACATTACATTACATAATATGGAGCCATGCAATATGATTTAGTCACTACTAGGGCTGCTGCAATATCCGCAGTATTGCAGTGTGTCACTATTGACAAGCCAACCGCAGGGGACGGAAAGTAACCGCTGCAACCTGTGTGTGCTATGTATTTACACTCTGCTACAAATGGCAGCAGCATGATGAGCTGCTGAGTGTTTGTTCTGTGCTGAGTGCTGCACAGTTGCTGTTTTTTTTTCCTTCTGGTTGCTGAGAGTTGAAAAATATTTAGCTCTGGGTGTACGATCACAGTGTAGGAGGAGCGGGACAAACACCACATAGATCAAGCGTCACATCGCTGAACAACAACAATAGAGGAGAAATCAATCAATTCTGAACCCACTCAGGCCAACAGGTCCGTCCTCTCTCCCTACGTGCTTCAGTCATACCTTCACCAGAGCATGGGCCAAAGCAAGCAGGTACTCTCTCTGTGCCACAGCAACAAAAGCGAGCCAGCTGAAAAAAACTCTGTGCCCTTATTGCACCCCATCACCCTTTAGTGTTCTGCACTTATCAGTGAACATGTATTTAATCTGCTTTGAAACTGTACAATCCCTGTCATTTAAAAAGCAAAAGTGTACCTAATAATATCTTAAATATAAAGCTTCTTTACAAATCACTAAAATCATGATAAATGAAGTAATTAGCAAAAACGACACATAACGGTGGTAATACCACATATCACGCTGTTGAGCCACCCTTTATCACGGCAGAAGAAATTCCTTCGCCACGACAGCTCTAGTCATTACTCAAACTCTTATCAGTTTATTAGTTACACCGGTACAATCTCATTTAATTCAGTCCTGTCCACTGCAACAAATTCTGTCTTTCCTTTACCGGCCAGATAAAGACAATGTGTCTGAGAGAGGCTGAGTCAACTCTGTGGTAATTTTCAGGCTGAAGTAAGAGATGGTGATGTGTTCATATGCATTAAATTAAGAGATGTTTCTAGTTTCCTTTCTCCATCATGTATATAAATGGAGAAGACAAAACATGAGAAACGACTTTCAATATGATGCAGTCCAACAGAGACAGAGTTATTAGAGTTATTAGAAACTGAACCAAAGATATTTTGTAAAGTAGAGTGCAGTTAGGGTCGCATTTTCCTGACCAAACCAGACCCGAGTCCGAGACTGTTATAACCAAGCCCGTCCCGACCCAACAACCTTTCTGATTTTAAAGTCCGAACCTGACCCGAGCCTGACGCAGTTTGTTACCTGACATAGTTATTGTTATCACAGTTACAGCTTGTCTGTTCACAGTGATCACACACAGACAGTGTGTAAATGACCAACAAAAGGCTGCTGTTACACACAGTCAAACACGCCGCACGCAAAGCAGCGCAGAACAGCACACACTCAATTGGAGCGGAGCCTGTGTTGCGTTCAGGTGTTGTCACATAAAAAACAAATTCCAGCACTTGAATAGGCCATAGCACAACACAGCAGCATGTCAAGTGGGCGGAACCCGAACCGAAAATATGTGATTTGTTGTCCGAACCCAGCCCATGTCAGGCTCAGGTCGGTATCCACACTCTGGTGTAAAGATATTCTTCACATCAAGACGGCGGCACGCACTTGGGCAGCGGCTCTTTGCTCTCTAGTCTGGTGCATTTTTTCTGTGTTTTTGTCTGCGTGTTGAGATCTGTGTCCAGCAGACTACGTGTACAGTCGACAAGAGTTAATCAACATCGGATCATGTTACAATATGTGAGTTTAAAGTGATCATCAGCTAATTTTGTTGTATTCCTATGCAATGACAATAAAGGCTTTCTATTCTATTCTATTTCTATTCACTGTGTTGCATTAGACTGTACAGATGTATCTAATAAACTAGTAAATTAGTGTATTGTATTTTGTTTGGCTGTACCTTGCAGTTTCCTTATCCGACACAAAAGTGGGTGTGGCTGCCAGAGGACTGCACAGGTTCTTGCGGATGTAGATCTTCTCAGTGGAGGCTGCACAGTTGACGGATTTCTCTCTGGTGGTCACTTCGACAGGCTTCCTCTCACACTGCACAGCTGAAGAAGAAAACAAAGACATCAGACTTTCTCTTTGTGGGTACTGAATAACATATACACAGCTGTATGTAAAGAATATTTAACTCTCTTACAGTCCTGTTTCATGCCCAGATTTATGCAGCGCTGCAGTCGACAGTATTGGCAGCGGTTTCGGTGGAGCTTGTTGATGGCACACTCTCCGGAGCCCCTGCATGTGTACACCAGGTTCTTTCTAATGCTGCGTTTGAAGAAGCCCTTACAGCCCTCACAGCTGACAGCTCCGTAATGACGCCCTGAGAGAGGAAAGAGAAAACAAGGTCAGGTTGGTGAACCCTTACTCGTGTGTTCCCGAAAAATAATAATGTTATAGCAAATTAAACTTATTTCCTACCTGAGGCCTTGTCCCCACAGACAACGCAGTACTCTATAACCGGCTTCACAATGGACTGGTCTGACCCCTCGGTCACAAACTGACAAACAACCCAAGACAATGAAATGATTTAATACAGCAAACACTGCAATAAGTTTAGACTCACTAAACATGTTCATGCTTCAGTCATAAGACCTTTCAGTAACTTGTTTATCAAAACTGGCAACAGGAAGCCACTAATATCCTCTAGCGATACCTGAATCTGCTGCCCAGCCAGATCAGGGGAGGCAAACAACAGCTGGTTAACCCCAGAGCCGTCTGGAGCGGCAAGGATGACCTTGTTGGGTGAGCCTTCCTGCTTGGCTAGGATCACCTTCCCAGTGGGGGAATAGTCAGCATTTGCTAAGATAAATTGCTGTTTTCCAGGGGAAGATGGCTCAAGTGCTGTGACGATCTGGATCTTCTGGCCAGTTTGCTGATCAGTTACAATCTGTGAGAAACAAAAGAGCAACACATGAGTGAGAGCTGGCTGAATATGCAGCGCGAGTGTGGGAGACGTTGAGCTAATTACATGAGAAAATAAAAAACTGTTAGAAATTAAAAAACAGTATTTTTCATTGGAGGACTGCAGAGAAACTGTACAAATATGAGACAATTCTGGGTTATACTGTCCACTACTCTTAGATATTGGACCCAATTTTGACAAATTTATGTGCAAATTGTGTGTTTAGTCTAGTGATGCACAATAATATCAGCATGTCATCGGTCATCAGTAGATAAAGGCTTTAAAATGAAATATCCACATCAGCCCAAAATAAATCTCTGCCAGTATGACAGACAGATAAGACGATGCTGTAATTGCGCAACTTTAATTAATCAAATAGGTCAATTTTGCCCTGGATGTGACTTTTGTCAGGATTGTCTCAGGGACAGCATCATCCAGGCTGTTAAAGTATGATGAATTCTGCAGTTTTGTTATGTTAGATAAAAATAAAAATGGCATGTTAACATGTAATCTAAATTGAAGTAGTTTTCTCATTTTACCCTGTGAATGTGTACATTTGGAAAAGCTTAGCTTAGCATTTTATGTCTGTATCTGCCAATGAGCCTTCATGAAGAGAAGAGACATAATAATATGTCAATTCCACAACAGGAAAGACTCGATGTCCCCTGCATTTAGATGGAAGAAATATGTACATATATCAATATCAGCATATCAGATATCTGCAAAAATCCAATATCATGCATCTCTAGTTTATTCACACACAATTAAAAAAATAAGAGTATTTTCTAGTTGTGGACAGGCTGTCACATCACCTGGATCCTGTGTCCTAATGCCATGTTGCTGTCTGCTGACACAAGCTGAATCCTTTGTGTCTGTCCATCCATTCTGATACTGCATGCACCTTCTTCCACTGCTCTTCACATCAGTGCCCCATGAGGCACGCACAACTGCAGAGAGAGCATATACTTTACTCTAAGTCCTATTAAAGCAAACTTTGGGTCAGGTAAGGGAATACCCTCAAGGAAAAGACTGAATTTATTTTGTCATTTTCTTTCAGTCATCAAATCCCATGTATAATACTTGTCAATTGTTTCTGACAGGTGATATATCTACAGTCCCATTTTTTAAACACTATGTAATTTCCTGAAACAGCAGGGTGCTGTAGTTTTTGGTAACACATTAGACAGGAATAAATAGTGCTTTCTGGGGGGACTATCGTTTAGCAGATTTATATACATTCTAGTAAGTATTTACAGAGGCTGGACGGTGTCAGTGAGATTGAAATAATGTTTTCGTACCGATGAAACCAATGTTTAGACTGATGGAATAAATGTCTTGGGACGATTTAGCACCTAGTATTAGGTTAGTTTAGTCTTCAGAGTTCTGTATATTATAAATGTTACTGTACATTATATGCAGTTTCTTTTCTTAAATCTAGACAACATGTTCATAAACACATTTTAAAATACAATTTGCTTCATGTCTGGGCCCTTGTTTTCAAGCTTTTGATAGCTTATCGGGGTGTTACATTTCACATCTCATTTCTTATGAAACGTACATGTATTTTTACTTTATCTGTTTTTGTGAATAAAATTGTGAATTGAGGTAAGCACCAGCCACCAAACAAATGCTGGTAGAATATGCAAGTGGCAGCTAGATTTGCTTCACTCACAAAACAAAGGTAATCTACTGAGTGGATTGTAGATTTTGGAAACCAGCAGCCACAGTGTCAGGTGAACAAGATATGTTAATTTCCAACCCTGATTCAGTGACTTTCATAATACTATCACCACATGTGTAAATAACATGTTTTATATACTGATATGTGCAAAGAGACCTGGTTTGATGCACTGCATCATAGCACAGAGATGTAATAAACATGACTATTACAACTACTCTCATCCCACATGTTTACTAGTTTATCGTTACCTCTCCCTTTACCTACAAGATATTTCTAAACGAAACTTGATCGTTGTAATAAAAATGTGCTCAGACAAATAAGCCTGAAACGATCTGTACTGAACCAACAGGTAAAATAACATCATGTAATATGCTATACTGCGTGCCACTAACTACTGTTAGTTTGTGGCCTAAGCTAACCAATGTAGCCGGCGCTAGCTTGAAACTGTATTTTTGGTGGCCTCGTTATAAAAATACGGCTTAATATCACAGCAAAGTGACAACGGATGAGCGGCAAAGCTGCAACAGCAACACAAACAAGGTCTTGACAGCCAGCTATTTAAAATCGATACGGAAGATAAAGGTATTTCTTTTCCTGTGGGTGAAAGGTCAACATTGAAGGGTTAAAGCATGCTAGGGTTCAAGGCCCATGATGCCGAATAGCAGAGTGAACGGCGGGACTTCGGCTTTGACAACTGGGCTAAATACGCATTAATCTTTGAAATGGACTTCCACATCAGTAGACAGTTTAGCAAGGCAAATCATGCTTTAACGCTACAACGTGCCGCTGTCACATTCAGACTTATATTAAAGACGTGGCTGCTTAGTTTGCGCAGACTAGTTAGCACCGCTAGCATAGCAGCTAACACCAGCTAACGGTAACACAGCTAGCTGACGCGGCTAAGCTTGTTAGCTAACTAGCATGTCCGTTAACAACATTACCGCTGCGGCACAGCTACGCATAAACATGTAACGCTAGATACAGAACATGCTGTGCAGTCGCATACACATACCGACATCACTACATACCTGCCAAATGTATTTTTAAAGCGCTGAGCTCCCGACGACAGTGCTAACGAGCTAGGCTAGCTGTTTGCTAGCTGGTAATGGTCGCTTCCCTGCTGTAGACTGAACACTCCCTCCCTTCCTGTGTTACTGGCCACTGCTGTCTCGTCTGTGAGCCTCTCATGCGTCCACGATATTAAATATGTCTTACCTGCCGTGGAGCTGTGGGGTCAGCTAATGTGTAGCCTTCAATAAATTAATATTTTAACAGTTTGCTGCAGTTGGTGGTGGGAGGGTCAGAGTTCGTGACCTTTTTTCATCAATAAACGAGCTAAGCGCATGCGCAGTAAGATGTCCGCGGTTCATAGCCTGCCTGTGCATGTGGGTGTGGGTGTGTGGGGGGGTGTGTGTGTGTGTGTCAACCTGTCAAAATGTACTTTATCTAGCTTCAGTTTCTTTTTGGTCTTTGCCATATCAGCTGTAAACAGATCACACAGTGTATGATTGAGTCAATATATTAACAGGTCTGCATACATATATACATAATAAAAACATACTCATAATATAAGTTACTCTTTACAGAAGATAGACCACATCATTGGATGTAACATTATGAACTATTAGGATGTTTGAGGAGACATAATTCTATAACAATGACAATGAGTTTTGGTACTGAAAACAAAATTTAGCTTCCAGACCACTCGTCAATGGAATAGTTGCTTTTGCAAGATCCTCACAGTAAAGAGGGCATATCAAATATATATGGAAAAAGTGTCTCAAATAACAACTATGGAATAATTTAAATTATCTTGGCAGGATGATCTAGGTCAAGGGTGTCAAACATACAGCCTGGGGACCAGACCCGGCCCGACAAAGGGTCCAATCCGGCCCACTGGATGACCTTGCACACTTAATATTGACACACTTGTGAAAGCTAAGAGGTGCCAGGTTTCAGGAGCAATATAAACAGCGAGCAGATACTAAATGTAAAATGCTGCCTCAGAGGCTTTTCCACCCTAACCAGAGTACAGTACTCTGGATAAAACTATAAATACTTACTGTGGTCATATTTAAGGATGTTGAACATTGTGCAAAATATTGTCAACCAGCAGCTTCAGTACAAAAGAATCTGTATCAGACTTCTATCTTAAAACAATATGGATAGAACACTGCTGCTGAGGCACTGAAAAAACTTCAGCTTTCCTTTGTGTATTTTAATTTTTATTCATTTATAAATATATTCATATTAGTAAAATAATAAAAAAGAAATATATATATATATATATATATATATATTATTGTAACAATGTTTCCTTATTCAAAGCCAAGTCATATTTACAATGCCAAAACTTAAGGGTGTTGCAGAGAATCCCTTAGGAATTTTCCTTGGTTAAGAAGAAAATGTTAAGTACAGTAACTACAGTTTTCATGATTTGTTTGCTTGCCCTCAAAGCTTGTGATACCTAAAGTCTCTTGTGCAATAGTTTAACTAACTTTAAGGGATTTCTGAAGTATGAGCCCAAGATAAGGAGAAAACTTAAAATACTTTGTGAAAAATTTAACGAAACCCGAGGGAGATAACGTGTTTTGTACAACTGATTTTATTTTTTAAGAGAACCTTAACCCGAAGGAAAATCTTAAGGTGTTATGTGCAGCCAGCTGCAGGCGATTTACCTCTAATGTATTTCAGTTACAGTGGGCTATAATGTGTGTTAAGGGAAATTTCCCCATTTCCTGACTATTAAAACATTGCTTTTCCACCATTTTAATGTGTAGCCCAATTATTTGTTTCCTCAACAGATTACCATGACAAAAAGCACAGTAAAACAAAAATTTATTACAGTGACAATTTAAATAACAAAAGAGAGATTCATGGAAATTTGATTACATTTCCTTTACAACTGTCTATTTACAGAAGATATGTGAGTAAGGATATCATCTATGTACAGCTATTTGAGATATACATTATGGTACAGTTATGTCCAAACAGTGAACATTCGATTTGTTTTTAACTCTAAAAGTTACTGAGTAAATGTGGATCGAAATGTTATTACAGTATTCATTTGGGCTTTTATCAACAATTTGTGCTACAGAGATCCAAGCAGGTTTAAAAAAATAATTAAATATAACAAAAAAAAGTCTAAAATAGCTACAATGATTCAGGTATATGATTTTTAACTTGCAGCTAAAACTGCATGAATCCTGGTGGAAATGATTCATGTTAAACAAAATTAACACGGCTAATTCACACTGTTAAACAATGTAAAAGGTCACTACGGTATGTCTGATGAGAGCAATAAAATAATATATTTGGATGTTTCAGTGCAGGTAACGCGGTGTCTCCAGATGCTTTTTGCAGAATTCAGAGAGCACTGAGGTAAAACAGTTCATTGAACAGCTCCACACGGCTGCGTACCGACGTTAAAGCACTGTGGCTTCTTTGAATGAGTCGATCCACCTGTTAAAAAACAAATAAGGATTGTTTTTAGTATTGTTATTGCCATCACCATATGCAACAATAAGTGGCACCGTTCTTCATACTGTACCTCTGTGCTGTTTGGACGTCATCGGCTTTAAAAATGTAGTAAAGCGTGTTTTTGTGGTAAAGCTTAAACTGTAGCTTCTGCGATGAATCAACTTTTAAGACGAACCCCAACAGGGGCTGACTCTCTAAGGCTGCAACATCCTGCAGGAAACACAATAAAAGACTGGCGTTAGATGGACATACAATAAATTCCCTTTGGTTTAATTGTATCATGACACAGGGCTTTCACAGATACAGGTAGGAGAGCTCACCTCGCTTGCAGCGTACGTATACAGGACCTTGTCTTTGATGACAAACCACAGCCTCTTCCCCTGCTTCTTGTTGCCCTTTGACCTCTGCAGATACCCACTCATGGAGGAGTTGTCTGTGCTCGCCGTCACCTGAAACAAACATCTGATTAGAAATCAGGTTGTTATCACTGACAGTGCGTCTTGATCATGACACAGCATCAGTCACCTCTTTGAGTGCTGCCGGTATCTTCTTCTGCTTCCTGGAGAAAGCAAAGGTAGATCTGCTTCCAGGAGATACAGCTGCTGATAGAGCCTGTTCACCTGATGAACACAAACATGGAACATGCAGTTATTCAATACAGAGAAAATACAATATGCGGAGTCTAAACCACGCTGATGTTTCAGCCTACAACAACATGATATGAGATAAATATGAGGATGACTGTGTTTGGATCAGACTTCAAAGAATGATAGGAGGAAGCCAGACTTACATTTCTGCTGCTGGAGAACAGGGAAACACTGGTCACACACTCGTGCTAACTGGTTCTTCAGGTACTCAAGACAGTATTTGTTGGAGGAACAAGACTGGCACACCACCTGATGGCATGATATAAGCATAAAATATGTTATTCTTCTCATCATTTTACAACATTAATGATTTTCAAGGCGCTTTGCTGCTCTAATTTTAATCATTTAGTAGTTTTTTTAAGTTTAAATTTTTGATGAAGAATATTTCAGAAATTACATTTGTTTTTGAAGGTAGAAGCTTTTTCTTCCACTTTCTGTCGCCTTACCTTTCCACATGCACGGCAGTGGTGTCGCCTCCACGTCAGGGTGAACTCACAGGTGCAGATCATACACATGGTGGTCCGCGGGTCGGGGATCCATATGGGGGCTTTGGATCCCAAAGGAGCACCGTCACCAGAATCCCTCAGCTCTACCTGGAGGTTACAGTCATCGCTCACACCAGTGTTCGTTTACATTTTCTTCATACTTCATACTTTTCCAGACTTCTCCATAGATTTTTCAGACCATATTTAGTAACTGAGTACTAACAGTCAGCCCTCTGTAAACTTGCACTTCCCAATTGTGAGTAGGCAAACAAATAAATACACAAATACATATGTATGGTGTTTGTAGCCTTGTATATTCACTGTGTCTATGGAAATAACGTTGACGGCAGCAATAAAGATATGGTTTCCTTACACAGAAAAGACACTCCATTTACTTTTCTAATAACTAGATAACTCATAAATGTTAAGGCAAGTTTGATATTTCCTTTAATTTGGTCCATGGACTGTATAAAACAGTGGACGTAGCTACCGTGACGTCATCCATTGGTTTATGGACTAGTGTTTTTTGCCGTTATTTCAACCATCTTAGTTTTTTGGAGCCAGAAGTGACCATATTTGGATGAGCTGATGACCAGTGAAGGAGCGAGGGATGGTCCTGACTGAGAAGCTGAGGGCACCTGTCATTCAAGTGGCCCTGTCCTTAAATATGAGTAACTTTAAGCCCTAATAAAATGTTAACGGGTGAGTTATATAAAAATTCACCCCTGTACAGTTGTCACTAATGTTCAAATTATATAGAGACCAAAACAGTTTTTGTACCAGGCTATAAATATGTTTATTCTGCTGTGAAGTCTGGCATTTTAACATCTGGATCTATGGGGATTGACTCTGTTTTGAAGCCAGCCTCATGTGGCCATTCTGGGAACTGCACGTTTTGGCACTTCGACATTGGCTTCATTATTCTGCCTCGGAGACTGAAGCTTGATTTGGTCCCGGATGGCCGTATTTGAGCTACAAAGCACTTGGGGCAGAGCTGTTTTGCAAACTGTGATGTACAGGCATAAAAGCAGTTCTCTGTAGGAGTGTGTGATCAGTCGCACATCCTACTTCTTGCCTTGATTTTGAGGACATCAAGATCACTCTGGCCCTGCTTCCTCACAATGTGGTGTACACTTTGGCTTCCTGCTCCAAATGTCTTGAAAAACACTCTGGGTATGATCAGTTTACTTTTAGATATCCTGAATTTTATATTTTAGGAAACAGAGGGGGGCAACATTTTTCCATACTTATCCTGAATCTAAATGACTCAAATCAAATTCAATACTTTATACCATACTGCATTAAAAACCCTGTCATACACACACACTATAAAACAGACTTTATATTCATCACTATCACACAGGCTCACACACTAGAAACAGGAAATGTACGAGGTTTACTTTCTCCAAGTTGTTATCTCACCTCTTCTGTAGGCTTGCCAGATATAAAACTGATCTTCTTCCTGGTGTATTCACTGATCGCCGTGGAAATAGCCTCGAGCCACTCATCTCGCTCTGTGGCCGAACTGCAGAGAGAAAACACAGTGTGAATACACACCTACACATTATTCACTGACCTTTGCACTGCAGGGAGAAACACAGGACGACTGGTATGAAACAACACGTTCTTAAGTTACCAGGAGATATCTTTGGTTTCTGATCATTACCTCGCTGAGAGGATGAAGGAGCGCTCCACGCTCTCAATCTTCAGCTCGTTCTGATAGGCCTCCTGGCTTGGCTTGCTAACCTGTAATTATTTTCATTGTGAGCGGTGATGGCAGCGTATAACATGTCCTGGGATAATAAGATATATGTGAGAAGAGATGAGGAGTGTAAGGAAATATGGGGTGAAGTTCTCACCTTCATCCCAGCCAGAGACAACATGTTGTTGAACTTGTACTGGCCTGACTGCACAGGAGTGGTGTACAGCAACGTGTCGTTAAACTGAAGGAGGAAAACCAAAGACACTTTTTTACTTTCTGTTCATTCTGTCTTTTCTTTTTTTTTAACTGATTTATTTGTTCATCTTATAAGAACAGTACACTGAAATTTAGCGAACATAGATAACACTTTTTTTCTTTTTCTTTTATACAACGAGGAAAATGAGGATCTCTCTGACCGCACGTAGGTAGGAGAGTGTGCAGTACCTTAGCGTAGGCAGATTACACAGTCACTGCAGCATTACTCTGATTATGTTGTATAAGAATGAAATAAGAGAAGGAACAGGTAAGTGTTTTACTGTACCAGGAAGAACATTCGGGGCTGCATGACTTTCCTAGACAGCTTCATCAGGATTCCCTCTTTCAGGAAGATCTGGAGCACAAAAATGTCATGAGATCACACTAAGTCATGTCTGTTGTCGTACATGGGTATTTCCTCACTCGTGAACTTAAAAATGTCTGTCTTAAACTAAAGCACTATATCACAAGTACTGAGGTAGAAAAAAACATTTGCCTGATAGAAAGAGTGTAGTAGTTGTGCTGATGTGGTTTCCAGTTAATTATAGTAATTATCACATAATTGCACTTAATCATAGCGACAAGAAGCTTTAGATTTTATGGATTAAAACATATAATAGTATAGTATCACTCAACATACAACACACAACTCTTATTTATATACAAATTAATTGTATTAATTGGTTAAATGATTGAGTTTTGGGTTCATTTTTAACCTTGAAAACAGGACCTTGAAGACCTCGAGATGAGATTGTTTTGTCAAATGCTACTTTCAAGCCCAAGCATGTACTCTGTAATTTACTTTTAAACTGACATGGTCTGGATGTCATTCTAGTAAAAGAATCATGGAAATTCAAGCATGTACTATTTCATGATAACTGGGCAAACTTAATCTTCAGAGGAAGATTGTGCAATAAAATTGATAGTTTCAGAACAGTAACTAAATGGAACTTGAAGTGAAATTCTCAACTTTCTTAATTATCTTATTTAATCTGAAATATGTAATATTTATGCATAATAAAAAAATACATTCGAAAAACTCAACAGCAATGTCTCTTTCCAGAAATCATGACCTGGTTACTCAAGATAATCCACAGAACTTGCTGTGAGCAGTTTGATGTAGGAACTATTTTCTCTCTACCAAACTACACCTGCCAACCGTATTGTTGCGCAGAAGGAAGCGTGCATCTACTCATGGACGAGAGGCTCGTGCTTCCGACAGCGAGAGATGTAAACATTAATGGCGTCCTCCTTGGTTGAGCTGTAACTTTAGCTAGCTCAGTGGTGCTAGGTGAGCTAGCAGTGGATGCACACTTGCTTCTGTGCAGTGATACAGTTGGTGAGTGTAGTACAGTAAAGGAAAAAAGTTCTGACATTAAACTGCTCATAAAAAGGTCTGTGGATTATCTTGAGTAACCAGGTCATGATTTCTGTAAAGAGCAACATTGCTGCTGAGTTTTCAAATGTATTTTTTTTGGCGCTTTGAGCACCACAAGCTGAGTGCCATCTAGTTCCATTATATCGGAGAGAAGGCAGACATCTCTCCGGCTGATATCTCCAACACTCTGCAACTCACACCAAAACAATCTCGGCTGATAAACAGCACTACAGGTAAGAGGAAAAATGTGTGTTTTTCATTTTTGAGTGAACTATGCCTTTAATGTAGCAAAATCTAATGAAGGTATATTAATAAAAGATCTTACCCGCCCAGGTTGGACTATCTCATGGTGGCCGTTCAGACTGCACTGCACCTGGATCAGCTTCTGGAAGTTATCCTGAGAGGAAAAAAATGGACATCAGCAACCCGTACAAAGTATTTTAAACACATTAGTATAATGTGCCTGATGTCTTGTTGGCTCTCACCCCTTGTTTCATGATGTCATTGGCATGATTGGCCACCTCTTTCACTATGGCGAGGGCAGCTGAGCGGATAGAGATGCGAAAAGGTGTTAATTACATATACATGACTAACAATGTTTCCATTTCACTGACACCATCAGGTGAGTTTACAGTATACAGATGTAAAAAGGCCCCTTGCTATACCTTGTGTGTCCTTGTAATCATCAGAGTCTTCAGACAGGTTTTTCAAATAGTCTGAAACACAGTTAGAAACAAGAGTCAGGGCCAGGAGTGCAAACTACTTTGTACGCTGGGTTACAAGTGCTTAGTGTTGTACTGTAAATTCCTGGAATGTAATCTAAAATTAAAATCCTGGATAAAAAGGTCTGCAGGTGCTTACATAATACAATTACACAACAGTGACGTGACAAACATTCTTCATATTTTGGTCCCGAGGGATCGACCCTGATCCATTAGACTCATGAATCACTAAGCTCACTCATGTTAAAGCTGGTGTTATGTCACCAAACCTGATTTGGGCTGCACTTCAAAAATCTTATTATATGAGGATTGAAGGAGCAAGACAGAAATTCCAAAGTGATTTTGTTTCTCTGGACAGCAGAGGGCAGTGTGATCCCAAAAATGAGGCACGAGTCAAACATGCAAAGTTTATGAGCTCATAACTGCAATTAAATGATGTTTGGAATTAAATAAAGCTTGACTTTGACTTTCAGATATGTGTCAAGAAATTAAACTGAACATTTTAATGCAGTCAAACTGACTCGTTTGCAGATATACCTGTGAGCAGCAGCTGATACTGAGGAATCCTCTGCACAGGCTTCAAGAGGTAATGCTTCAGAGCCAAGTTGGCACAGCGTGGACTGGCCTTGGACAAAAAAAAAATTGTGTCACATCACAAATGACACAATTTTCAGGAACAAACTCACACATCATAAACAATGACACGTCAATGACCCAACAGACACACTCCCTGTGACACAGAAAACAGGTCAAGCAAGCCTCGTTACCTCGAACTCCCGTACCACTGCGCCAAACGCTGGGTTCTTCTTACTCTGCTCTTCCAGTAGAGCCACATTCTTGTCAAACTCGCGGATGTATGTGGAGTACATCTTCAGATAGGGCCCTTTCTTCACGAAAATGTCTGCCAGCCGGGCATTCTCTTCCCTGTACACAGAATAAAGTTGCATGAGTTAAACCAGGCACTGTGAAACCTGCTTGAGAAAGTATGTTTAATTAAGCTGTACAATGTGATGAATTATTCTTGTAGGAATAATAATAACATAAACACATAGTGTGTATATACCAATCAGCCACAACATTAAATCTGTGACAGATGAAGTGAATAAGATTGATCATCTTATCACAGTGCGACATTCTGCTGGGAAACCTTGGGTCCTGGCATTCATGTGGATGCTCCAAACACTGTTGCAGATCAACATGCCCTAAAAGCCACGCCACCACCCAAGCAGGACAATGCGCCAACTCACTGCTCAGGAATGGTCCAAGGAATGCGCCAACAAGCTCAAGGCCTCAACCTGTTCTCAGATTTCCCAGACCCGATCTGATTGGACATCTGTAAGAGTCAGTACCTTAATTCACAACCCACAGGACTCAAAGGACGCACAGGACACCCCCAGGGGTCATGTGTCTATGCCTCGACACATCAGAGCCACGTCCAACCCAACAAGGCCCCACCGTGGCTCGGGGAAGCCTATGGGGTAACAGTTCATCCCATGCTCAATCAGATTGGTATCTGGGAAATCTGGAGGCCACGTTGACGCCTTGAGCTCTTAGTCACATTCCTCGGGCCATTCCTGAACAGTTTTTTGCAGTGTGGCATAGTGCATTGTTCTGCTCGGGGGCCACTGCCACTGGGGAGCGCGGTTGTAATGATGGGGCGTACTTGGTCTGTAACAGGGTTCAGGTGGGTGGAGTGCGTCAAGTGGCATCCCCAAGAATGCCAGGACCAAAGGTTTCCCAGCAGAACATTGTATCGTGACAAGATAATCAATGATAGTCACTTCACCCGCCATTGGTTTTAATGTTTGGGCTGATCGGTGCACATACAAGATTTCTCTTAAACAGACCTCAACTATCCAGCCCAAACCATGAGAAACAGCCCCAGACCCAAAGTACACACAACTAGAGGAGCACTCTAAGAGTTCACACCTCTGCCAAGGCCAATAGTCTTGTATGTATGCAAATCTAAAAGCACAACCACTATATATGTCTGGATGCATTTTCAAAACTACTAGAATAGGTCAAAATATGGTTTTGACTAACTAAAGTGTCATCATCTCAGCTTACTTATTACCTACTTATTTATTATTTAACCTTTATCTAACCAGGAAGTCCCATTGAGATTGAAAATCTCCTTTACAATAGAGACCTGGCCTAGGTAGCAGCCAATCAAAACACATTTAAAAAGCAACACATACAACATATAATACAAAAGTCCACAATAAAACGACATCTGTTCAAACATAGTGGCCTCTCGTAATAGCTCTGGTGGAGTTCATTACAGACAGTTCACATTTGGATACAAGAGTATAATTAGTTGCGTCATATGTGTGTATTTACGTTTCCACAGCCACACTTTAGTTTGAGTGTTACAACTGCGGCGGTGGTACAGTTGTACCAGTTCTCCCATGAGACACTGTCCCTAAGTGCTCCATAGCAACTGGTTTCTGTTTGTGGTTTGAGCGGTTACCTGTGTAACCTACCCCAGAGGATTACTGGTACCTATGAAAGTGGATTGTGATATGGAGTCATTGCATTTCTTATTGGCCATGCTTTATCACTATTGAACTTAACTATCATCTACTGGATTTCAAAATGTATGACTTTTATTCTGCCAAGGCTAAATGCCTTAACTGTTTAGAAAAGAGGACAATATTTTGGGTATCTGCCCTGTGATTCAGAACCACTCCCAAATTTAACGGGCTCTTCTTTGGCCTATGCTACAGCCATCCAAGTTTCATGACACTTGGTCCAGTAGTTTTCCCTGTATTACTGCTTACAAACAAGCAAACAAACCTGACCAAAAACATAACCTCCCAGGTAAACATGGGGACAGGGGCCTCCATAAACCTTTGGCCATATGTTGCTGTTTCAGCCAGTAATACTGATCTGTGCACACAAGCGTAAAAACACTTCTTTCAGGATTTTGTCGTACCATTTGGCCACTCTCTGCTTCAGCTCTCTGAGCAGGTCCTGGTTGAGTTCATAGAGCTGTGGGAGGTAGTACAGGATCTGGTTGAGGAGACGCTCCTCTATCACAGGCTTCCCACTCTGACGGGACGCTGTGGACGCTGCATCACGGAAGTCCTGCAGGTCAGATAGTCACACAGATAAAGAGTCAGATGATCAAATACAGGAACTCAGGCACACAGGGGAAAACCCAGTGTGTGTGTGTGTGTGTGTGTGTGTGTGTGTGTGCATCTGTGTGTGTCAAATGTTAAACTAGTTCTTTTAGATTTGCATGAAAACGCAGTGCATTAGTATATATCGACAATTAAGATGCTTGTTCCCCAAAATAACTCTACAAACCAGAGAAGCTCCAGAAGATACATGAAGAGAAGCAGTGCTGACCCATGACCTACACACACACACACACACACACCTGACTCGCATTAAGCATTTGTAAATTTCCACAATACCATGAATCAGGACTAAAATAAAAAGGAGAGCTGGAGGGTGCTGCTTCTGCTTCTTTTTCTGATGATGTGGAGTTTTTTTTTGTGGTTTATGAGGACACATGGCAAATAAAACTGCTTACAGACTGAGTGCCCAGTGGAGCGCTCCTGTGGTTAACATGTGTGATCTGACGGCGGAGGAGGTGCGTCATGTGGAAGAGGATTTGGCAGGGAATTAGAAAAAAAAACTGGGTGATTCACGAGATAAGAAAAGATTACAATGCAGACACGACTGAATCAGCAGTGAATGAATATTTTTTGATAAGAGCGGAGCGGACAACAACAGGGCTGAGGAGAAGCTGCGGTTCAGTTTGGGTGATTTTCATTTTTTTCTTAAAGCTCCCGCACTTCTGTGTAACTTCTTTGAACTTAGTTTATGAAGCAGTTGACATTTTAGAGACAATATGTTTTCACCTGACAGCGACAGTACACAGAGCATCACGGAAAATATGGCTCGACTGATAACTCAGATAAAAATACACAACAAATGGCATGTGGCGTTATCATAAATCAGTCGGTGGAGAGCTGGCGGAGTGCCTGGTGAAGATGGAGAATGAACAAATACTAAGTCACCTCTACATACTTCTGAACTTGGTGTGACTGATCCTCATTAATGGACTCCATTCCTCTACAGCCTACAGAGACCCGAGCACTTCCTGTCTGAGCTCCGCAGTGAGGAGTCATTGTTTATGAGTCAGTCCCACTACAATCTTGTTTTGAGACTTTTGTCTCTCCAAACATCTGCTCACACTCATCCTTTTTTTGGGAAAATAAAGAGATGGAAAAATACAAAAAGGACTTTAACTTTGAGGTGAAGTTACACTGCAAACACAAAAGGGGGTCATGTTAGGTATAGGTGTAGATTTCAGGGCCCCTTAATTTGCCCCCCTTAATATTTAGAACATGTACATTTAGCCCTCACAATAAAAACATTAAAGTAGCAGAGGACATTTGTTTAGTCAAATTTTAAGACATTTACACCATAAACTGATGTAGAAAAGGCACAAACTGTATAAAAATTCACCAGAATGCAGAAAATTAAGTGTTCGACGCTCAAATTTTTCTGGCGGAGGATCTCTAAACCCCTCATTTCATACATGTATTTGTCCCCCCTCAGTGTTGAAACAAAACCTATGCATTTTATATTATTAAGTGGCATGACGGTTAGCTGTATTGCCAGCCCTCTGTATATGAGATACATCTAATCCCTGTCGGTAGCTCAATTAATCCAACTTCTTATATGTCCAACTTTTAAGTTTTAATTGTCGTTCATATTGAACACGTCAAACCACCAATTGCGACTTGATGTGTCATTGTCCGCCGCTGCAACAAGTGTCATCATCATCCTGCAGCAAGAATCTATGGAGGAAGGGTGCTTATTTCCTGTCTGTTTATTATTCTAGGGGCCGTATGTATTTAAACCCAGCAAGCAACAAACCGCTTGTCCAAGTAAGCTAGGTCCAAATACCACCATAGACCCTATACCCTGGTGAAAAGTCAGGACAGTATGGAGGTATGAAAAAACAGAAACCACCCAACCCTTGTAGGAACTACCGTCTTTCTTCTGAGCTACACCCACTAACCGTATCAATGCACAGAAGGAAGTGTGCAACAACTGATAACTCACCAAGCACCACTGAGCTAGCCAATGTTACAGCTGAGCCAAGGAGAACGCCATTAATGTTTACATGTCATGCTGCCATGAGCACAAGCCTCTCGTCTATGAGTAGATGCACACTTCCTTCTGTGCAGTGATATGGTTGGTGGGTGTAGTTCGGTAGAAAGAAAATACATTAAACTACATTAAACTGCTCACAACAAGGTCTGTGGATTATCTTGAGTAACCAGGTCATGATTTCTGGACATTGCTGCTGAGTTTTACATTGAATTTCTTTTGGCACTTTGAGCACCACAAGCCGAGTGTCATTTATCTCTACGGCTGATATCTCCAACACTCAGCTACTCACACCAAAATTATCTAGACTGATAAACAGCACTAAAGATAACAGGAAGGAGTATTTTTGATTTTGTGGTGAACTGTCCCTCTAAAAGTTGGTTGGCGTTATTCTGATCTGACAATAGACACAAATACTTCTGTCACCCTACAGTGTATTTCCTTACGTTGTTTCTCAAATATATCCTGAGGGAAAGTACAGCACAGAAACCAGACCATCATATCATTTTGTTGGCTTGGATCGGTTACAGCTTAAATTTCTCCAAACATCACAAGGAGACAACAGGAGTCCACTGAAGTCCAGAGTGTAGTGTTACTGTCAGATCACATGAGAAAGTCTGGGGGAAACAGGGAGGAATGTGAGCTGTGCGGTTGAGACTGAGGGGAGTTAGGTTGTACACACAGTCGTCTCCTGCATGGGGTGTGCCCTAGTGGCGAGCATAATTAAACACATATGGAGAATGTGGGCTCACACAGCAGACGAGCACTAGATAAAACATATAGAGAGATGAAGTACAGCTTTCTCAACAGTACGTCGGGTGGCTCGCTGAGTATGTTCAGATAAGGGTGGCTGTTTTTTTTTTGTAAAACCATTTAATATCATTGTTTGTTCAATATTTGTTTTTTAGGGTCCTTTAACAAACATCATTTCTCATGTGGCTGATTTCTATTCTCTTAAAAAGACATTTAAATTTGGCTCAACGTCAATATGGAGTTTGATCTCTAACTATGTTTTTCCCACTTAAGAGGTTAAATAGTCCAGTGTGTAGGATTTAGGGGGATATATTGGCAGAAATGGAATATAATAAGTCGGTTTTCTTTAGTGTATAATCACCTGAAAATGAGAATCATTATGATTTTGTTACCTTAGAATGAGCTGTTTATATCTACATAGGGAGCAGGTCCTCATCCACAGAGCCTGCCATGTTGCACTGCCACATTTCTACAGTAGCCCAGAATGGACAAACTAAAGAGTGGCTCTAGATAGGGCCATTCATGTTTTTATGTTTTCACGCTGGACACCATAGTTAGCCGCCCCTCCATGACAAGCAGCATCAGTCTGTTTTTTAAAAATGTGAAACTGCTTTATTCAGTGTTTTTACTGGTTTAAATCACCAGGTCAGTTTCTTTTTTGGAGAGGAAGAGACCTCTGCGGAAAATTTGGCTCTTGTTAGAAACCTACTGAAAGTCTGGATCTTAAGTTATCAGAGAGAAATAGGGGTCATAAACATGCCGCGTTTTTTGCTCCCTCTCATCCATTGTTTTTTAATGTAGATGCATGGCAGGTGGTCTCAAACAGGAGAGCAACATCATCACAACACCCACGCGTTGCTGAGCACCTTTTTTTTTTGGGGCACAATGACTGCATCCTGAAATAAACTGAGTTCAGCTTTTGAAACGCAGCAGCGCACACCACGTGCCATATGACAAGGACCAACCAATCACAGCTGACAGATACCTTTCCCTTCCTCTGTAAATATCAGTCTGTGATCATTCAGAGTTGGTTACTGTCGCTTGGTAATCTCAGATGCGACCTGCCGCTGCGCTCTTGAAAGCTGGTACAGAAAAAGCACCAGAGTAGTGCCCAGCATCTGACCTTGAAACATTGATGTGTAATGTGAAACTGCTTTATTCAGTGTTTTTACCCATTTAAATCACCAGGTCCGTTTGTTTTGGAGAGGAAGAGTCCTCTGCGGATGATTCAGCTCCCGGTAAAAACCACCTGAGCAATTAACACTGAAGGAATTCTAACTGGGAAAAGTTTCAGCTGGCTGCAGTCTGCAATCCTCACCACTAGATGTCACTAAATCCCCCTAAATCTTACACATTGTTCCTTTAAAATAGCTTTTAATATAAAATTTCAGTATGGACAAATTTCTCCTCCCACTTCCCAACTCTATAACACCTGCCTCTGCTCTTCTCACGACAAACATGAGGCCTGTTTTGGTGTGAAGCAAATAACAGATAAGGGTGATGTCTCAGGGTACTTACAACATGAAGCAGCTTGAGGACATCAACAAACCTAGAAAAACAAACAACAGGGGACGTTTAAGAAGTTATAATGGATAGGTTTAGTAATAGAGAAAGTAAAGAGTTGCTTCCCCAAATGTTTAGTTTGTTTTTTGTTTCTTTGTCAAGGTTTTGAGACATGTCTCTCCTGAAAACAATGGGGGTGTATTAAATTTTGTCTGTGGTGCTCAAAGCATAAAGACATTACATTAAAAATTCAGCACCACGTCTATCCAAAAACAATGTCCTTTTGATAACAGACAGACCGTGTTTTATGTTTGCATTTAATACCATGTGTTGATAGCAACGTATGTTTTGGATTCAGAGTAATGTGAACAAAATGAGATGCTGCTGTAAAAATCTTAAACATCATTTTCCAATGTTCTGGGCGCCACAAACGACATTCCTTTCACCACAAATGTTTAGGGTGGAGGCAGAAACCTCAAAACCTGGGCAAGTAAAACAAAACTATCTCTATGGCTACACACTCCAACATGTAAGTGGATGGGGGGTTTTTTTCATAATTTGAGGGATCCAAAAAAAACACCTAAAGGAAAACAAAGTCAGACTCTTACACACTCTCAGAGCTCATGATTTCTGTGGCAATGTGTTGAATCTTGCTCTTCTTCTTTCCACTCTGCATCTAACAAAACAAGGTAGAAAGACACAGACTTTGAATAACAATGCACCATAATAAATCACAGCAAAACTACTCACAGCAGATACACACTGTGAATCACAATATATTCAGGTAGAATTTCTATCAGATACAGCCTGTGCCTGATGTAAAGGTCAATGAAAAAAGTCAAAAGAGTCAAGAGGAAGAAAAGTTCTTCCCCATACAACCAAAAAAAAAACAATGTTATCGCTGAAACCTTGCAGAGGACAAACCCCGTGAGGTGAATCCAGGAAGTATTTCTGACTGAGATCATAAATTTAACAGTGTCTGCTTCTCACCGCGCTCTCCTCTGGCTGCTCAGGGTCGCCTTTACTTGAGATGGAGCTGCTGTCGGCCTCGTCGTCTGAGGTGTTGGCCAAGATGTCATCATCAGAGGGGGCATCATCCAGGGGTGTCACCTCCTCATCGACAGAGCTTCTATCAAAAGGAGCAGGGTGTTGGGGTCAGGGGAGAGTAGAGTCAGGTGTAACAGTTTGAGCACACCACTGTACAGATGTTTAAGACACACAGACGCAGTTGTAGACATTTTTTAACTAGAGTTGTACGTCTCCCTGAACCAGTCAAGTTACATTTATGTCTGTCCAGACTCAAATGTAGCCATGACAGTTGACAATGCTTGAAATATGTATGATGCTGCAAAGCCGCTACAAATTCTAAAACATAGATGCTTCACACACATCTTCCCCCAGCAGCACAGATGATCTATACAATCAGCAGCACAATTTTAAAGTGGACACCCAGGATTAGTGTCACTAATTTGGTATCTGACCAAAGGTCTCCCCTTCTGTTCCTGAGTTAATTAATGGCCAGAAAAGAGTTTTTGCAGAATATTATGATGTCACAGTAAAGTTAACCTTTAACCTTTTGGATATAAAATGTCATCACTTCCTCATTTTATCCTCTTACACATTTCTGTTAAATTTTGTCATGTTTAGTTTATGAATTCTTGAGTTATGACCAAAAACGTAGGTGGCACAGTGATGCAGTGGTTAGCATTGTGGCCTCACAGCAAGCATGGGTTTCTGGTTTCTGGGTGGAGGGTTCAAACCCCAGGGTGGTGGTGTTCTCCCTGTGTCACTGTGAGTTTTCTCCAGGTCCGTAGGTGTGAATGTGAGTGTGAATAGGCCTGTTTCCACCACAGGAACTTCGGGGTAATTTTACAGGGCCGGGGCCGTTGGTGCGTGTCTCCACCGCAGGAACCACCCCCGAAGGACAGAGTTACGGAACTTTTACAGGGGCTAAACAAGTCCCTGCCTCAGGGTAGGTACTCAGAACGGCCCCGAAAGACTCCTGGCTGGGGCTTGGGGATTACTTGGTGCTGATTGGATATACTCAAGGAGGGATGTGATGTCAACAGAAAGCAACAAAATAGCTGACATTTTTAAAACTCAGCAGACGAGGGTTAGCTCGTTCATAGCTAAAAAACTCTCTAAATGGCCCGTGAAAAAAATATTTTTTCCAGCGGATATCTTAGTTACAACATGATTGAGCTAGAAAAGCAGTTTTGTGTTGATATGTGTGGTATTTATTCAGTTTTGGGAAATCACGATGTCTAGAGAGCATCAGTGGCTGCAGCTGACAGGGACAGCTAACAGCAGCAGCAAAGCTAACATCAGGACATCATCTGTTAAAAGCCTCCCATTGTCGGGTACGACATGAAACTACTCCAGTTAACTCAGTCATGTTGTAACTGAGACGTCCGCTGGAAAAAATATTTTTTTCACGGGCCATTTAGTGAGTTATTACAGACACTGCTATCGGCTAACGGCGTCCCTACGTCGCCCCGGTAAAAACGGTCGTGCAACGATTACATCACATCCAGAGCCCATAACTTTGCAGGAACCTTCCTCAGAGGAGTCTCAGTGGAGACACGGCGGTTGAGAGGGCTGAGCGAGAGGACGTTCCTGTAGTAGTTCCTGCCCCCCAAAAAGTACTAGGAACTTCTTCAGTGGAAACGGGCCTAATGGTTGTCTGTCTCTATGTGTCAGCCCTGTGATAGTCTGGCGACCTGTCCAGGGTGTACCCTGCCTCTCGCCTAATGTCAGCTGGGATAGACTTCAGCCCACCGCGACCCCTAATAGGATAAGCGATTACGGAAAATGAATGGCCAAAAACATGTTTTGCGCATAAACTGTATTGATAATGGACATAGCTATCATCACATTATCCACTGGTTTGTGGACTGCCATTTCAAAGCCTCGAGTTCGGCATTTCGGCCATCACCATCTTGTCTTTTTGGAGCCGGAGGTGACCATATTTGGACGAGAGGTTGGAACTGTAGAGGAGCGAGGGGTGGATTTGACCGTCTGACAGCAGCGACGCCTCACAGAGAGTTTGTCACTCAAGCAACTCTTCCATTATATATGTGTAACTTTGGGCCTCAATAAAATGCAAACGGGTGAGTTAAACAAAATTTCACCCCCTGTACAGTTGACATATATATTGAAATTAGCTGTAGAGACCAAAACTCATTTTTGTACCACGCTGTAAAGATGTTTATTTCTGCTGTAAAGTTGGGCATTTTAACATGGGGGTCTATGGGGATTGACTGGAGCCAGCCTCAAGTGGTCATTTGAGGAACTGCAGCTTTTGGCACTTCCACATTAGCTTTACTTTTCAGGCCTTGGAGGTTGCTGCTTGGTTTTGTGAGGTCACTGTGACCTTTGACCACAAAAATGTAATCAGTTCATTTGTGCCAAAATGTAAGAACTTTCCTCAAGTTTTAGCACTGAATCACAGATTTGACGATCTTTACAGTCTTGTAACTAAAAAAAATCATGTTAAAATCAGTTCTTGTTGATGCGTTCAATGACGTCTTTTAAACTGCATGTCCTGTTTTCTTTTTTTGTTTGTCATTTTGTTTTGGTTTTTTTTATGTTTTTTGTGTATGTGTGTGTGTGTGTGTGTGTGCTTTGTTGTATTTTATGTAGCCTTGTGTAACATCTTGGCCAAGGGACTACAGATGGAAAATAGCCTTTTGGCTAATTCTGGCATTTTTATACCATGTGTATTTATTAATTTGCACTGTCCCTTCTTAAATAAACTAAACTAAACTTTGTGTTTTGGATGTATCGCATTCACGAGAATGAGAAATACGAGGTCACAAAAAAATTCAATCAGTTGATTGTTGAGTCCAAGTTGACAACTAGAAAACATGTCTCTCAGCTGTCACCACTGTTGAGGCATAAAAAACAGTGAATACAGCAGGTGCTGACCACGTCATTTACATGCCACATGATTAATATAGAAAGTGAGGATGTTATTTATAGAAGAGGGTAAACAAGATGAGGTTTGAAATAAAGCACCTGTGTCAGCACATAATCTGAAGGAGAAAACTGTCAGTCCAGCAGTGCTCAAACATTTCCTGCTCTGATCGAGTGGGAGTCATAGAAAAAAAGAACACACAGGAAAGGGAGCACTTGACACAACCGGAACAAACATTCAGTGATAACCATCATCACGGTCACATGACACTAGCCTCGGTCCAGCTGCCGGCCTCGGGGTCAGGTCACAGAGCATTATAGTTCGGCTAAACACTGCCATGTCCAACAGAAACAACTGCAAACCCCCAATCATCACACACACACAGCTTTAAATGACTACATGTGAACCGCTAAGAGTGAGCTGCACCACAGAGAAGCTACATATCTAAAATGCCACTATTCCCAGAGGGAGCATTACATGTGAAACAACAGCTCCTCCCTGAACAAAACTGCAGAAGAAGAAATGGGCCAAGGCTGAGCAGCCAACCCAATAAGCCGGAGTCTGTGGGTCTAACACTCTGTGGCATGTTTACAATAGCTGCTGCATTGAGCTGTGACTGGTCTCTGTTTGTGAGCCGCTCTTTTTAACATGTGATTGTTGCACAGTTTGAGCTAAAGAGGGGCGACACGCTAAGCTGTGCCAAGCCGAGTGTACAGTTACACAAACCATAATCCTATTTTCTCAACTGACTTCTGCTCACTGCTCATTCACAATGCAACATATGACTTCTTTGCATAAAAGGATGATTACATACATAACTACCAAGAATTTAAACACGATAGAAGTTTAACTGAGCCAATTAAGCATCACACTGGCTCTTCTTGCCAAACAAGAGCTAACAGGGCTCAACAGTAACGGTTACCAGGAGGTTGTTGGCAACCATTTTGAGAAACTGGCAACCAATCATTTGCCTTTAGTTGTCAGGAGTGGCAACCAAAGGAAACAGCACAACATGCCCCAAAATATAAATACATTTATAATATTTGAGACAAGTGGTTCCCAACTGGTCCAGCCACAGGGTCCAGATTTCTCCTTAGTCATTAGTTCAAGGTTCACACAGTTTAATACATGTGACACATTACACACATTACACCTGTGTCGCCAGGTTGTCGAGTTAGTTTGTTGTCTCTGTAAAGTAGCTTTCCGTAAGTCACTCACTCTACAGCAGTAAACTGCGCTAAAAATAAAATCTCTGTGAAAATCTGACATGTTTGAGAGTCACTTGCGGTCCATTCAGAAGGTACCTGTGACCCACTTTTGACCCCCGACCCATCAGTTAGAAACCACTGACCTAGATATTGCTGTTGCAGTGTGAAATGGAAACAGACATCGCTGCATGTGCGTTGGCGCATCTTGTCTAGTGTTGTTCCAGTACTGATAACCAGTATCATGAGTTGCTCTGATATTGCCTAAAATGCTGGATCAGGTATCGGCGAATATGCGGGTCTATGCACTGATGTGAAACCACATAATGTGCGAATAATTTTAAACGCTGATTCACACGAGGATAAAGTTGTGCTGCACAGCCACTGACAACTACTGTTTTAAAGCAGCAAAGCAGAAGTGATTTCCAGTAAACAGTGTGACGCTAGCTGTTCCATTTGGCAATGTTATACACTGGAAACTCCCACCACTTTACGGCAGTGGTTCCCAACTGGTGGGTTGCAGTCAAAAAGCGGGTCATGGTTCCATTCTGAATGGACCACAAGTGACTCTGAAACTTGTCAAGTTTGTAAAAAACACACTTTATTTTTTTAAGTACAGTGAAGTTCTGGCACAGAGCTTTTATTTTGAAGTGCTGTTTCTGTACTGTAAAATAAGTGACTAATAGATTGCTACTTGACAGAGACAGTAAGTATGATGCTAAATGTATCAAACTGTGGACCTTAAGCTTAATCTGGACCCCGTGGCTGGACCAGTTGGGAACCACTGCTTTACGGTTTATTTTAAGCTATGTCGTACAACATTGATAGCAACCATTTCACAACCATACAGGGTTAATAGTATACAATTGTTGATGGGTTTTAAGGCAGTGGTATCAGTTTGGTACCCGGTATTGTCCAATGTGCAAGTTCAGGTATCAGAATCGATATTGGGAAGGAAAATATCGTATCAGATCATCTCTAATTTAGTCGTGTTTGCACATGCATCTGTTTTGGAGACAATGGTTAAGCTAATTAAGTTGTTTGACTGTAGGTTGAAAAGTTTGACTTACCCGTTAACATCACAAACAAATGTGCAAATTGATTCAAGTGTTAAAGTGCTGTATGAAACGAAAAAATACAAAGGTCATTTTAGGTTACTGTTATAAAGCTTTCAAACATTATTTAGCTGCCTGACATATAATTGCCTGGTATCTTAATTATTCCAAACATAAGGTGAATAAAAACATCAAACATATTTTTAGTTTCGGCAATCCGAAAGCTGATGCCTGATTGCCAAGCTGGCAAGCAATTCTAAAAGCTAGTGTCGAGCCCTGGCTAACGCAGATATTTTAGCTTTTTTACTGAGCATTTTGAGCATTCAAAATCAAATTCAAATTGCTAAAAGAACTTGTATGAACTGTTAACAGTCTGTGTATTATGCAGAGTAACAAGAACATGTTTTTTGGAAACATACACTGCTTTCTAAGAATGTTTTTTTTTTTTCATTGTTTTGAGCGACAAATCTATCACCTCCATTGTATTCAACTGTCTGTCTGCATGCCTTGATAACACTGGAGGTGTGTCATCAGTGCCCTCTTAGCCTCAATTAAAAAAATACACACACACATTCTTGCCTTCTAGGCCAAAGTTTGCATAAGTATTTCCTCTGATTATGACTTGCGGCATGAAAAAAATGATGGGAGTCATTTTAATTATTAGGTCAACCCACAATCCATCAACACCTGAGTGGCTGATCACATGTGTCATCGTACTAGTATCACCACGTCAGACTCACCAGACAGGAATCTGCAACAAAAGACACAATGCGACGCGCTGCTTTGTGATCCGCCCTTTTTACAAACGATACACAGTCACCCTCTGTAATGAACTAGACCTATTGCTGGCGGCGTCCTCTCCTAGTATCCATTATGCAGTGTTCAAAATCTGTTTTTATATTTATAAGTTTTTAGTTGTTTTCTTTTTAAAGGAACATTTTAGATACATAATCTTATCCTGTCTTGTTGTGATGCTGAGGGCTCAGAGGTACAGCATTTTGTTTGTTTTTATGTCTGCAAGTACACACAAATTGATGATAAACTAAATCTTGAATACCTTGAAACCCTGGGAGTCTTGAAAATCTTTTACAGATTAATGTTTTTAGGAGGCCTACGGTGTTTGCCTGCACTCCTTTCATTAAATAAGGGAAATCAACTTATATATTCATAGATGAGATCACATATGAGGTACTGAGAGAAACAAGACAGACATGAAAGTATCATAATCTACCTCTCATAGTCTGTTGGTGTCTGACAATGTTGGTGCTCAGTGTTCGTCTCAAAGGACATATACGGCTCCTGCTCCTCATAAATGCCCTCGTCGTTATACATCGAGTTCTGCCAGGCCGTAGGCTGCGAGATGGAGGTCCGAGGGGACGCCACATTCACGTTCATGTAGTCTGGTATCTCCTCATAGTGAGGCATGTTCTCGTAGTAAACACCTTGGTCCGTTCCAAGAGAAAACTCATCTCCGTCCACACTTTGCTCAACTCCGAGCAGCGGGCAGGAGAATTTACGCGGCGCCCTGAGATGCTCGTGGAAGTCCTCACATCCGTTTTCGTCCATGCTTTGTTCGTTCTCATTCGCAGTTCAGTCTGAGCTCTGGCCTCCTTTCGCTTTCAGCTTGGGAAGCATCTTCACAGAGAGCTTCAAGTCCAGCAGTTTTCGGAAAGAGTTCCTTTTCTGTCCTTCAGATCGTTGCAGGTCAGCACCAGAGAACGACTTGGCTCTCTGTTTGCTGGAGCGAGAAGGTTTGACGATTCCAGGTGTTGAGAGTTTTTTGTTTATTTTCTCGTCTGGAGGCGAAGGCAGCTCCCTCATCACACGTTCCTTCAAAACGCAGTCTTCTTTAGAAAGTTCCTGCCTCTTCTCATCACCTCCTGATTTCCACTCGTCTCTCTCCTCAGATGATTCCTTCCTCTGCATCCATGCCATCGGGCTGCTGTGTCTCTGGGGCTTCTTCGGAGCTACTTTGACCACCTTGTCCTCTGCTGCCACAGCGATGGCAGGAGGCTCCGGTTGATCAAGCGAACAGCCTGATGGAGGACTATGTGTGAAGTCACTGTACACCGCCTCCTCATCATCACGCGTTCCTTCCCTCTCCCTCTCCCTCTCTTCATCCTCCTTGTCGACCGATACCTCCATCTCCTGGATGCTGTTGTCCCACCCCAGGTCTTCCTCCTCCACATCCTTTGGGAGCGTCTGAGGAGCAGAGGTTGGTGCTTTTTCAGGTGCAGACAGTAAAGGCTTTTTCCTGGGCGGAGGCGCCGGCTGAGTGCAGGCTCGTCTCGCTGATAGAAAACTTGGTGGCTTGTTTCCAGCAGGTACACTGACAGACGGCGATGAGCTGCCCTTCCCCTCTGATGACACCTTCACCTCACTGACGTTCATTTCCCTCCCTTCCTGGCTCACAATCTCCTCACTCTCCTCCTCCACCTTTTCCTGACGGACCAGCACAGGCGTCCTGGGTTTCCGTGGTACAGGGACAGGGATGGGTTTCCTCAAAGCTGCTGGGACGGGTTTAGTCTGGGGTGCACGAGGTATCTGCTCCGAGCCAAGAGCATCTTCCTCTGGTCCTCGCCCAGGTGCACTCTGAGGGATCACGTTACCATTTGCCTCATCGCTCCAAGTTCTGTGGGGAAGGGTTGGTCTAACGGTGACGTCAGGGCCTGATGTGTTGAGATTTCTGTCTACAGTTTCTTGAAGAGGTTTATGGTTTGTGAGGTGAGCATTAGTGGAAGTGTTCGTCACTTTGCACTTGTCGGTTTTCTCTTGAGATGTAGGGAGAAGCTTTCTGTTTGTGTTCCTGATGCACATGCAGTTTTCTTGGCTACACAGACATATAGGAATAATATAATCCCAGTCCGGCTTTTTGTTCTCTTGCTGTGTTGCATTTTGGGAGTTGAGAAGACCTTCGAGCCGCGGGGTTTCTCTCACAGATGTTTGAAGGAGGCTCTTTGAAGCCAGTGGTTTGGATTCCACAGCAGTGGTGAGTTTGGAGAGGCAGGGTTTGGGGGCCAGCGCTGGTTTAACCTTCCTCTGTGTGCCAGGAGACGGGAGCGAGAGGCGGCTGTCTCTTCTGGGGGTTGACGGAGACAGTCCTGGCCTCTGGGGCTGGGCCAGCTTTGGTTTTGGGGCCAAGGGTGGCTTTTGCATGCCTGAGGAGAGAAAAACAAATGAGACACACTTCAGAATTTGTGTAAAGTTATCTCAGATTTGAATCTGAAACACATCAATAAAGATTACGATATAATCTGGCTCAATAAAAACACACACTCTGAATATCCAGATGGTGTGTTTAATGCATTTTCAGTAAACGCACAGATGTTGCCTGAGTGGTCGTTTACTCTTTAACTCTTTGGCTCTGCAGCACTCATCCTAACCTAGTGACAGCTTAGTGTGAAACTGCTGTAAAGGACTAAACCACCTCCACAGGGGGTTCAAATATCACATGGCTTATGTTTGCCACTCCACACAACAGCACTGTAATCCGGCTAATGGTGCGTGTCAACAGGCAGAGAAAGAGGAGGAGGAGCAGATGGGAGGTGAAGAGTGGGAGGCAAATGGTAGAAGGGGGGTGCAGGGACTGGGGACAGAGTCATGCAAACTGGTACATCTGGCTTAACTGGTGTCCTGAAATCTTTTGTGGTGGACCAAACAATAACACGCTGACCTTCTGACAGGGACAGATGTTGTGTTGTTTTCCCTCAGCACATATTTCCTCACTCAGTAAACCACAGGTTACTAACACATCTAGAGATCTACAAAAACATCCTCATGAAGTTTGATTCTGGGAACAATCAACAACTGATGGACTGACAGATAAATGAGTGAGATACGTCTCAAATACCATAATACACTGATTGATACACGCACATAGCGGTAGGATGCAAGTACATTTACTGAAGTACTGTACTTAAGTACAAGTACGAGGTACTTTTATTTTACTTGACCATTTCAAATTCATGCCACATTCTGCTTCTGCTCCACTACACTACAACTATTTGATAACTTTAGTAACTTTACAAGTGAAGATTTTTGCACACGAACCATATGACAATATACAAGTGCAGCTGAAACGATTAGTCGACTGATTAGAAAAATAACTAGCAAATATTTTAATACTCTTTCAAGTCATTTTTCATGTAAAATCATGTGGTTTTGGATATTCAAATATGAGGACTTGCTACTTGACTAATTCAATTTATTTAAACATTTTCCTGATTTTACTTACATATTTTTACGTAACCCTTTGAAACCTGAGCAAATTGGCTTAATTTCTTACAAAAAAAAATCACTGAAAAAAGGCAACAAGCAACTTAATGAGAAATTAGTTAAATATCAGCAAAATATGTGAAAAAAAGTGAAAATTAGCACAAAAAAGGTAAGTAAAACAACAAATTAAGAAAAGACCTAAAAAAAGTGGTTAAAATAAAACAGAATAAAAAAATAAATAAATAAACAATAAAATAAAATAAAATAAAATAAATATAAATACTAAAAAATTAGTGGCATAAAATAAAAATAATAAATATAATAATACAGTTAATATAATAATAGGCCTATATATATACTTCGTCTATAAGATTTATTGGCATGACATTTCTTTGTGTTGCCAAAGCACAATTACAATTTAAACAGTGAAAATTTAAAAAAAAAAAATTAACAATGCAAATAAAAAAAAAAAAAAAAACTTTTAATAATTTCTTGCAATTAAGAGGGCATGTTATGCCAAATTGCTGATTGCCTCTTTTTCAAGAAATCAAACCAATGTGCTCAGATACCAAAGATTTAAATATTTGTGAAAGGTGTCTAAAGGCAGCACAAGAAAAGTGATGTCACTCCACATTTCAAAGGGTTAAGTCACAGTGTCAAAGCAGAACTTCTACTAGTAACAGAGTACTCTATTTCACAGTGGTATTAGTACTTTAACTTTAGTAAATAATCTGAGCACTTCCTCCACCTTTTCATGCACACACATAGTTTTATGTCTTCTTGTGGTTTTTTTTATTCTTAATCCGTTAACACACCAGCTTGTTGAGCTGTTTAACATTTCAAAGCACAACCAGAGGCTGCAGATCAGTTTCATCTTGACGCCCTACAGTTATGAATCTGTTGCTTCTCCCTGATGTTTATCTGCCTTACCCCCTGAGAAACAAACATAACTAAACATAACTGTTTCCATCGCAGTTTAACACCTTCTGATTAATAGTTCATGTCGCCAGCTGTGAGCTCGCAGACACCAACAGATCTCTGGCAATCACTTACCTGAGCTCATCATCGCTTCACTCACTTCAGTCCAGTTTTGTGGATTCAGTGAAGCGGAAACAAACCATCCTGGGTGTCCGGGTACATTTCAAGACTCGATCCAGTCCAAAGAAGTTGTCTTTCAAGAAATATATAAGTGTTGTCAGTGTTTCTTCGCCCAGCACATGTGATCCTGCTGCTACAGTCTCACCGGAGCCGCACTGACTGGCTGCCAGCTACATTAACCACACTGCTTCCTTTTTGTTTCCATAAACACTCCACTAGGGGTCCTCAGGGGCCACAAACTGTCATGTCAACCAAAACACAACTCTCAAGTATAATTAACTGTAACATTAACCAAGTCAGAGGAGCGTAAGAGAAAATCCTGAGCACTCTGACTGAAGGTTTAATGTTGTTTAAACTAACTACAACTCATCTGATCAACATTTCAACTGCATAGACTTCATCATCATCATCATTACATGGGAATTTCCACCCACACAGCTTTCCACACACATCATCATCATCATCATTAATAACACCATGAGTGTGACTAAGAGACTGAAACATGAGTGGAAGCCAGCTGATGCTTTGTAAGCTAAACTTGAGATATATATAATGAGGAAGTAAAACTAAAATAAGCAAAATTTCTGGGTGGTGCTTTCATCATGCTGGATCTGTGTCATCAGGCTGATCAGTCACCGTTACAGGAAACACATCTGGCCTACAGGAAGTCAGGCAGATGACGGACAGCTTATCCAGATCCAGGGATGTTTAATTAAAGAAGTTTTCATTAATATTTATATAAAGGCCCACTGAAACATTGTCACACAGTCTCTTCATGGTCATAAGTCAAAAAACATTTTGCACCTCAGCTACTGATAAGGCTTATCAGCAGTGCCACCCACACAGTAAACACGAGGTGTTTGCACTCTGACCGCACATCAGCCTCAAGTTTGAGCCCACAACTGGTGTAGTGTGAAGACTTTTTTTTTTTTTTAATAACATAAGTAGACCGATGCAGATATAATCTCGTCACTGGAGCGTATTCAGTGTGTGATAACAGGAACACGAGGGAGTGCTGCAGTCTTCTTCGGTTTGATACAAAAGTCCGTCTGTCGTTGGCATGAACCATCAGGAACTTGATTGTTTTTTCTGTGCAGGAAGAAAAATTTGAGCCAGTGAGTCATATTAAACACTGTGTTAATATACAACAGGTTATGAAAACACAACACATGATTTAGAGAGAATGTATGTGTTGTGAACCATCTCTTTACATTGCAGGAATTTGCAGACTTAATTAGGTCTAAGTTCAGTCACACACCTCTGCTTGGCCTTTTCCGTTTCCACTGAAGCAGTCGGTGTTGTGTCATCTCCTCTTTTTAGTGTTGCATTTTGTGAGCTGTGTGCATCTGTGGCTGCAGGGGTTTTACCTGTATCACTGCGAGACAAGGATAGAAAACTATGAACACCAGAGCTGCAAGGTAACTATGTACCATAAAGTGCTTAAGTACAATTTTGAGGTACTTATAATTGACTTGAGTGTTTCTATTTTACTTAGAATACATATAGACTTGTTGGAGCAGTTTATAAAATATGATGCCTTACTGTACACTCACTGACCACTTTATTAGGTACACCTGTTCAACTGCTCCTTAACACAAATAGCTAATCAGCTAATCATGTGACAGCAACTCAATGCATTTAGGCATGCAGACATGGTCAAAACGACCCGCTGAAGTTTCAACAGAGCATCAGAATGGAGAAGAAAGGAGATTTAAGTGACTTTGAATGTGGCATGGTTGTTGGATCTACTCAGATTTTCACACACAACCATCTCTAGGGTTTACAGAGGATGGTCCCAAAAAGAGTACGAGTTCTCTGGGTGAAAATGCCTTGTTGATGCCAGAGGTCAGAGGAGAATGGCCAGACTGGTTCAAGATGACAGAAAGGCAACAGTAACTCAAATAACCACTGGTTACAACCAAGGTCTGCAGCAGACCATCTCTGAACCAACAACACGTCCAACCTTGAAGCAGATGGGCTACAGCAGCAGAAGACCACACCAGGTGCCACTCCTGTCAGCTAACATCAGGAAACTGAGGCTACAGTTCACACAGGCTCACCAAAACTGGACAATAGAAGATTGGAAAAACGTTGCCTGGTCTGATGAGTCTGGATTTCTGCTGCCACATTCAGATGGTAGGGTCAGAATTTGGTGTAAACAACATGAAAGCATGGATCCATCCTGCCTTGTATCAACAGTTCAGGCTGGTGGTGGTGGTGTAATGGTGTGGGGGATATTTTCTTGGCACACTTTGGGCCCCTTAGTACCAACTGAGCATGGTTTAAACACCACAGCCTACCTGAGTATTGTTGCTGACCGTGTCCATCCCTTTATGACCACAGTGTACCCATCTTCTGATGGCTACTTCCAGCAGGATAATGCACCATGTCACAAAGCTCAAATCATCTCAAATTGGTTTCTTAAACATGACAATGAGTTCACTGTACTCCAATGGCCTCCACAGTCACCAGATCTCAATCCAATAGAGCACCTTTGGGATGTGGTGGAACAGGAGATTTGCATGGATGTGCAGCCGACAAATCTGCAGCAACTGTGTGATGCTATCATGTCAATATGGACCAAAATCTCTAAGGAATGTTCCCAGCACCTTGTTGAATCTATGCCACCAAGAATTAAGGCAGTTCTGAAGGCAAAAGAGGTCCAACCTGGTACTAGCAAGGTGTATTCAATGAACACAACACAAAAACAACATAAGAATCAAACTTCTTAAACAAACACTGACCTCATTTTGTGTAAAACAAAACAAATGTGCCATGTAGGTGGGCAAAGTATGTAATTTACTGTCACTTACTAAACAAGCATTGCCAAGGACACTACAAGGAAGGAAATGTTATGGCAACAGCGACAGTGACAGTGACAAAGTTCCAGGAACCAGATTTTGGTGTCAGTTCTGCTAAAGTCAATGGGGTGGGCACAGCAAATCACACTGTAAGCCATCACATCTTTGTTGTTTCAACTTTGACTGTAAAATCCTTCCACCAGTTTAAAAAACACACATTTTGTGAGGTTGACTGACATTTTTTATCTTAATATGGGCATTTGTTTTCTTTATTATAGGTCTCCAAACAGATCATGATTCTGTCCAGCAGAGGCTGAGGTACAGCTTGAAGCTCATAATGATCAAGTCTAATCCCCTTCACATTCACAGTATATCACTGCCATTATTCAGTTTCTTACAGTGAACCAGATTCACTCTGGTGCAGTCGTACCTGAACTTGTAGTCTGGAGGGAGGCTCAGACCTAATCTGTAGTCTCCCCTGGTTCTGGAGATTTGCTTTTGAAGGTCCCTGACTGAGCAGCTGTGACCACTGAATACGTAGCCCACAAACAGCAGCTTCCCTCTGACGTACATCTGTCACATGAACAAACACATTTTACATTACATGTGTGGAAATGAGAAGAAAAATCTACGTGCACTGCAGTTTCATTGTGATATTTAAAAAGCATCAGCCCATGTATTCTTATTTAGAAAATAGAGAAGTGGTTGCACCACTGTGTTGATTCTATCTTTTCACAACATAACTCATATCAGTCATGTGGATATTTTTAGGTTTCATAACAAAGGATCCTACAGTGTCTTACACAGTGTGACTTCTTCTGTTTAATTTATGGACTGAGGGATGGATTTTAATCTTACAGCAAAAATCAGCGGAGCAGCTGTCATGACTTTGGGCTAATAATTAGAGCACCCTTTTGTAATTAAGAAGCGCCATCCCTCACTGCTTGTCAGCCTACAGTACTTTTATAATAAATGTCTCAGTTTCTTGGAAAGGACAGTACTTCACTACAGTCCTCACCCCACCTCCTCCTCCTCGTCTGCTTCAGGCAAGCACTGCTGCTGCCACCCAGTGGGATCAACAAACGCCTGCACTGAGCAGAGCCTGCAGCCTTTTTATCCAAGCCTGCAGTGGGTTTACTGACCAGGACCATGCCAGGGGCTGTGTTGTGCCGTTGCTGCAGCAGGATGTTCTCCCCTCCACAGCTGGGTTCCCCTGTTGACATCTCATACCTCACCAGGCGAAATGAGTCCATCTGGCACTAGATTAAAAGAAGAACCTGTTACTGAATTTCAGGAAAGACATACTCTACAACATCCTGCTGACTGTAGTATGTCTTTCCCTGACCCTTTGTTTCACAGTCTGTGCATAGCTGTGCATATTTAAGTACATTTAGTGTACTTGCTGATTATGTAAACTCAATGTTATTTTAACTACAAACAAATGATGCAAACACTGCAACTTAAAGACTGTAAGGACGCCTGGCTGGGTACATACAGGATATGACAGGTGACCAAAAGGTGCTTGTGTTGTTGTTATTATTTTGTCCACCCCCTGCATTCACACCTGAGTACATGGCATGGTTCTGTGTTTGTTCCTCCTCCTGTAAAACTGCTCCAGCACGTCTTGCCCGGGCACAGCATGTGCGTTGACGGCTTGGTGCGGAGGAGTAACGCACACCACCAGGATCTGTTGACTGTGTGGAGGCTGGCCCATAACGAAGGCATCGTACTCCAGGTCTGTCACCGCTGGCATCAGCTTAGCGCTGCAGCAGCACCGCCTGCGCCCCCCCTCCCCCAGCAGGGCAGCTCTCAGCAGAGCGGGGCACACTGTGAGGGGGGTGGAGGGGGTGAACGATGGCGGGGGTGGACGGCGGGTGACAGCGGAGGGCTGCAAATCTGCACTGTTTGGAATAATCACTGACCTGGCAGGGTGGGGGTGATAGTGAAGCTGTCAGTGTAAATATACTCATGCTGTTGTAAACTGCAGTAAATGTCATTTCTACGCAGTAACATTTCAATGTATTTCTGTGCCTGTCAGTAACACTAGTACATCTTACTCAAGATTGATGTTGCCATGAATTTGAAGGGGTCCTATCTGTGTGACACGAGGCTCCTCCTTTGATCGTGTTTTTCGTGTCCTGGAAACATGCAGTTTAAAACAGTGACATATTAAAATACTGTATTTTGCATAATGCAGTATACATCTGTGCAAAGTCTAGCAGAGCTCAAGCACTTAAGACTGATCAATAAACAGTTTTTCTGTCACTATACAAAAACAATCACTGGATTCTGTTTAAAGGTTCTGTATGTAACTTTCACATAATCCTTGTTTTTAATGACACTTCTCTCTGAGGTCATTATGTGAACTGCAGTCAGCATCCAGTTGCTCGAGCTCTTCGAGCGAGCACCTGCATCGGCCAAAGCAATGACAAAAAAGAGACTGACTGGCATTATGTTGATAGAAGGCTGGAAAATAAATTACAGTCATATTTAGATATCTGTAATTGTCCTTTATTTCATCTGGATCATTTGTTCCATGATGCTAAGTAGTTTATGGGTTGCAAATACCAGCTGACGCTACAAAACAACCTAAATGGTTAACCCAGGGGTAGGCAACCTGTGGCTCTGGAGCCACATGTGGCTCTTTACATTCCACAAAAGTAAAAATGTGAAGCCTATAAACCGAATTTAAATAATATTTTAACATTTCAACAACTAAAATATGAGTAATATATTTACCGTCTGGCGCCCTTTCCTCAAAATTTTGCCGAACCTCGATAGCAGTGGCTATTCTTGAGTCTCCCTGTCTGGTTAGTTAGATGCCAAATCCAAAAAAGTAAAAGTCATAGAATAAAAAATAATAAATAAAAAAATATATATATATAAATAAATAATAAAAAGAGAATTTAGTAGTGTGTGGACGGATTTGTTTGCTTTCACTGCCAGCTCTGCAAAGTCAAAGGACCACATGATCATAAATAGTGCCCTGCACAGTAGCCACCTTGTTCATTTCGACCATTGGTATAGGCTAATTTAGACTTAATATGTTACCCTCATTATAAGGCTCAAATATGTTTTGTGGCTTGACACAGATTTTTTTTATTATCATTATTATTTTTGGTCAAAAATGGCTCTTTTGATTGTAAATGCTGCTAACCCCTGGGTTAACCTCCTTAGCTTGGGTTACGATTAGCTTGTTGGCTGCCCCTGCCTGCTTTTGGCTAGTAGAAAGTGCTTTGTACCGTGACATCATTTATTGTTTGCCATCAACCTTGCGTTAGTTGCTCTGTAACATTAGCTGATACATTAATTTGCAAATGGCAAGCTAGCTAATTTACCGGTCAGATAAACCCTGGAGTCTGTATGAATAAAATGACATTTAATCATTCAGGACAGTATTTTGCTATGTTAGCTAGCTAGCAATTAGTCTGTGTCAATATAACGATATATTTCAAATTATGGTAGTCTTTGATAGATTTACTATTTATTAAGCAAAAAATTAGACAAGGATTAGCAAGCTAGCATAGCTAGCCAACACTCTACCTCCTTCCCTGTTGCTAGGACACTGCGTCCCTGGAAGGAGAGTGGATGACAGCTTTGACTTAGCCCCTGTAGCAATTTGAATTCAGCCGGTGCAAACTCCAGACGCTGGGGTTCAGAGACTGTAATATGGGGTCATTTTGTAGCTAACGTTAACTGGTGTTGCACACTGTTAGCATTGTAGCAGAGCTGAAGAGAGGTGGTACTCTGGAAGGTGCAGGTGTAAGTTTTTGAGTTACATTACAACCTGTTCACCCATTGGCAATGAGAAACATTAAGTATAAAGTTACATACAGTACCTTTAAGGATAGATTTCGATGATTCTATCTACTTTGACTTGTAAAATTGTTGGAGTGGCCAAATGGACCATGTGCTGCTGTGTACTGGTGTATAGTGTGCACCTTGGCAGCTTAACGGAGGAGTCCAGAGGTCTTTCTGCTGGTGTTGGTGACACCCCGTGCAGCTCCTGTAACTCATTCGTGCCCTCCTCAGGCTGGACTGGTTTAGCATCTGCCTGCTCAGGTGGGTTCAGAGAGGGCAGAGCAGCTGACTGTACCTCCCTCCTCAGCCTGGTCCTCAGTGGGGCATCTGGCATCCGCTTCATGTCAGGACACTTGATACCTGAAGGAGAGGAAGAGGTCACTCAGAAATGCACACAGACACCGAGTGACATGAGTGACCGTGAACAAGATCCTGATGGAACTATTCAATAATGTTGAGTTTGCAGGATGAGGTGATACTGTAACTTTTTGCTCCACTGAATCCCTCTGAAACAACCTTACTGGGTCAGATTGGCTCAGTGTTACTTTTATTTGCACTGCATACTTTAATAACTCGTGTACAGTACATCACACCCACCGGTTGCAGTTTGATCCCAGCGGGGACATGTGCACGCACACTGCACTTTCCAGAAAAGCTGGAAAGGCTTTGCTCCGACTGGTACCTACCAATGGCCACGCGATAGTAATCCAGCCAGGCGTCCAGGGTGTTTCGTACTCTCTGCTGAAGCCTCTTCAGCTCCCTGCCAACATGCCCTCCTCTTCTCCACAGTGCTGTCGGCTCCTCCAGCCCCTCCACCTCTCCGACCATCTGGAGGACCTCCCGGGAGCACGCAGACACCTGCCATACATCATTACTTGCATGGTAGATTATATGATATAGAGCAACATAAGGCATTTAGCAAGCTGTTTTATACAAAGTGACTCAGAGAAGACATCTGCAGAACTTTTAGAGGCTCACAAAAAGGTATTTTTGTAACATAATTTAGTGCTGAAATAAATTTGTTTTGAGCCCACAAATACATAGTGATAAAAAAGGCTCTTACAGGTGTTAGTGTCAGGTTCCTGTTGCTCTTCAGGACCACAGTGGGGGATTCTGTCTCTCTTGCCAGCAGAAGCTCTTGAGCAAAGCCAGAGGTAAACCTTTCTTCGGTCTGCAAACAAGGCTGTCATGCAGACATTATCAATTAGAATTGTTAATCGGAAATCTGATGCCTTTTTGTGAACTACGTCTACTAATCTTAATCTCACCATTTCCTTTGACTGGTTAATGTTCGACACAGCAGAAAGAGGAAGTTGAACGCTTTCATTGTTACATCTGAAGATGAGCATGGCAGATGTACCACTGTGCAGCCTCACAGAGATTACATCTGACAACTGTAGGAGACAAAAAAATCTGTTACAGGTTTCTCTAAAATTAGCACAGTGCTTTAAAAAAAGATATTGTGAGCATTCATAAATTGTGACTAATTCAGCCATGGTTATCTAATCTGCCAACCCAATCACCAGAATAATTGTTGCCATTGTACACTTCTGCAAACCACAGATATGTAACATTTATACATTCAATATCTAGCAATTAAGTTGTAAAGTAACATGTAAGTTTTTCAATTTTATGTTGTGACAAAGCTGTGGTTTACATGTGGTTGGGCACAAAAAACACCGATTAGGTTTGGGGAAAGATCATGTTTTGGCTTAAAATACCCTGTCTGTTCCTACAAACACGGCTTGACATGTCCCAAACTATTGTTAAAAAATACCTGCTTTTCTTGCTACTAAAACAGCTGGACATGTCCCAAACTCTTGTTAAAAATACCAGCTTTTGTTGCTACTAAAACAGTGACATGTCCCGAACTCCTGTTAAAAATACCCGCTTTTGTTGCTACTAAAACAGCTGGATATGTCCCAAACTCTTGTTAAAAATGCCTGCTTTTGTCACTACAAATACAGCTGGACATGTCCCAAACTCTTGTTAAAAATGCCTGCTTTTGTTGCTACTAAAACAGCTGAACATGTCCCAAACTCTTGTTAAAAAATACCCGATTTTGTTGCTACTAAAACAGCTGGATATGTCCCAAACTCTTGTTAAAAATGCCTGCTTTTGTCACTACAAATACAGCTGGACATGTCCCAAACTCTTGTTAAAAGTGCCTGCTTTTGTTGCTACTAAAACAGCTGGACATGTCCCAAACTCTTGTCAAAAAATACCTGATTTTGTTGCTACTAAAACAGCTGAACATGTCTCAAACTCTTGTTAAAAATGCCTGCTTTTGTCACTACAAATACAGCTGGACATGTCCCAAACTCTTGTTAAAAATGCCTGCTTTTGTTGCTACTAAAACAGCTGGACATGTCCCAAACTCTTGTCAAAAAATACCCGATTTTGTTGCTACTAAAACAGCTGGACATGTCTCAAACTCTTGTCCAAAAATACCCGATTTTGTTGCTACTAAAACAGCTGGACATGTCTCAAACTCTTGTCAAAAAATACCCGATTTTGTTGCTACTAAAACAGCTGGACATGTCTCAAACTCTTGTCAAAAAATACCCGATTTTGTTGCTACTAAAACAGCTGGACATGTCTCAAACTCTTGTCAAAAAATACCCGATTTTGTTGCTACTAAAACAGCTGGACATGTCTCAAACTCTTGTCAAAAAATACCCGATTTTGTTGCTACTAAAACAGCTGGACATGTCCCAAACTCTTGTCAAAAAATACCCGATTTTGTTGCTACTAAAACAGCTGGACATGTCCCAAACTCTTGTCAAAAAATACCCGCTTTTGTTGCTACTAAAACAGCTGGACATGTCCCAAACACTTGTCAAAAAATACCCGATTTTGTTGCTACTAAAACAGCTGGACATGTCTCAAACTCTTGTCCAAAAATACCCGATTTTGTTGCTACTAAAACAGCTGGACATGTCCCAAACTCTTGTCAAAAAATACCCGATTTTGTTGCTACTAAAACAGCTGGATATGTCCCAAACCATTGTTAAAAAATACCTGCTCTTGTTGCTACTAAAACAGCTGGACATGTCCCAAACTCTTGTCAAAAAAATACCCGATTTTGTTGCTACTAAAACAGCTGGACATGTCTCAAACTCTTGTCAAAAAATACCCGATTTTGTTGCTACTAAAACAGCTGGATATGTCTCAAACTCTTGTCCAAAAATACCCGATTTTGTTGCTACAAATACAGCTGGATATGTCCCAAACTCTTGTCTAAAAATACCCGCTTTTGTTGCTACTAAAACAGCTGGACATGTCCCAAACACTTGTCAAAAAATACCCGATTTTGTTGCTACTAAAACAGCTGGACATGTCTCAAACTCTTGTCCAAAAATACCCGATTTTGTTGCTACTAAAACAGCTGGACATGTCCCAAACTCTTGTCAAAAAATACCCGATTTTGTTGCTACTAAAACAGCTGGATATGTCCCAAACCATTGTTAAAAAATACCTGCTCTTGTTGCTACTAAAACAGCTGGACATGTCCCAAACTCTTGTCAAAAAAATACCCGATTTTGTTGCTACTAAAACAGCTGGACATGTCTCAAACTCTTGTCAAAAAATACCCGATTTTGTTGCTACTAAAACAGCTGGATATGTCTCAAACTCTTGTCCAAAAATACCCGATTTTGTTGCTACAAATACAGCTGGATATGTCCCAAACTCTTGTCAAAAAATACCCGATTTTGTTGCTACTAAAACAGCTGGACATGTCCCAAACTCTTGTCAAAAAATATTCAATTTTGTTGGTACTAAAACAGCTGGACATGTCCCCAACTCTTGATAAAAAAAAAAACCCTGCTTTTGTAGCTACAAAAACAGCTGGATATGTCCCAAACCATTGTTAAAAAATACCTGCTCTTGTTGCTACTAAAACAGCTGGACATGTCCCAAACTCTTGTTAAAAATACCAGCTTTTGTTGCTACTAAAACAGTGACATGTCCCGAACTCCTGTTAAAAATACCCGCTTTTGTTGCTACTAAAACAGCTGGATATGTCCCAAACTCTTGTTAAAAATGCCTGCTTTTGTCACTACAAATACAGCTGGACATGTCCCAAACTCTTGTTAAAAATGCCTGCTTTTGTTGCTACTAAAACAGCTGAACATGTCTCAAACTCTTGTCAAAAAAATACCCGATTTTGTTGCTACTAAAACAGCTGAACATGTCTCAAACTCTTGTTAAAAATGCCTGCTTTTGTCACTACAAATACAGCTGGACATGTCCCAAACTCTTGTTAAAAATGCCAGCTTTTGTTGCTACTAAAACAGCTGGACATGTCCCAAACTCTTGTCAAAAAATACCCGATTTTGTTACTACTAAAACAGCTGGACACGTCCCAAACTCTTGTCAAAAAATACCTGATTTTGTTGCTACAAATACAGCTGGACATGTCCCAAACTATTGTTAAAAAATACCTGCTCTTGTTGCTACTAAAACAGCTGGACATGTCTCAAACTCTTGTCAAAAAATACCTGATTTTGTTGCTACTAAAACAGCTGGACATGTCTCAAACTCTTGTCAAAAAATACCCGATTTTGTTGCTACTAAAACAGCTGGACATGTCCCAAACTCTTGTTAAAAAAACCTGCTTTTGTTGCTACTAAAACAGCTGGACATGTCCCAAACCTTAGTTAAAAAATACCTGCTTTTGTTACTTCAAAAACAGCTGGACATGTCCCTAAATCTTGTTAAAAAACACCCACTTTTGTTGCAGCATAAAACTGTTGGACATGTCCCCAACTCTTGATAAAAAAAACCCTGCTTTTGTAGCTACAAAAACAGAGGGACATGTCCCAAACTTTAGTTAAAAAATACCTGCTTTTGTAGCTACAAAAACAGCTGGATATGTCCCAAACCATTGTTAAAAACATCCGCTTTTGTCACTACAAAAAGAGCTGGACAAGTCCCTAGGTCTTGTTAAATAACACCCCTTTTTGTTACTACAAATACAGTTGTACATGTCCCAATCGCGTTAAAAAATACCTGCTTTTGTCACTACAAAAACAGTTGGACATGTCCACTTTTGTTGGTCTTGAACAGTGGTCTGCTGCTGTTCCCCTGAGATGTCAGCTTATATACATCATATACAGGAAATTTCTATGCCCTATGTATGAAACATACAAATGTAACATATCTGTGGTTTGCAGAAACATACGTTACCAACACTTTATTCTGGCAATTTAGCTGAATCTGCACACTGTAGACCTGTTATAAAACCTCTCTGGGTCCCGTCAGAGACAGTTAATGCTTGTTCATCAGCAGGCCATGTGTCATACCCCAGATACAATGCTTTGTTTCCCCTAAATGTGACCATTCCCATATGCACATCATACAGTTATCGCACATGACAGGTTCTCAACAGATTCTGACTACCCTTGTCACTGAATATTTTTCTTGTCTGGAGATGACCTCACTGGCCTGTTCTGTATGCAACATGCTCACTCTGTTTGTTTACTGCACAGAGAAAATGGCGACAACATTTTTTATAACCAAGTTACATCATAGGTAGAAAGAGTTATGACAGTCTCAAAAGTGGCTGCACCTGAATAACAATCTTCTCCTTTGGCGTGCGGTCTGTCTGCCAGCTCCACTCCTTAGTTATGTTCCCATGATGGCCACATATGAATCCCCTGTCCTGGTTCCACACTGCTCTAATGGAAGAGCTGGAGGAACATTTTACATATGATAAAAGCTGTTTAAGGGCATTTAGCATTTTGGAGAATACGCTTTGTCACCTCAACATCAATCTTATGTTTGTGTTGAAAGGTAGTCTATTCCAGCTATTTCACAGGAGCACACAGGAGAAAATTTCTTTGTGTAAATAATCAAAATCAAAACAGCAGAGGCAGACATATCATAACTTGGTGTCCCTGATCCAGGTGAAGCTCTCATAACGCAGGACAAACTTTGGAAAGCTCTCTCCAAAGCCACACAAGACATTATCCCGACAATATCCTGACTTATTCTCAGCGGAGTGCTTTTCTATTTATTCAGGCTTTCTCACATATGAGCACTGCTCACCTCAGAGGATGTGTAACTGCCCCATGCCCAAATGCTGTGATAGTCGCCAGCATAGCAGGACACTCGCAGTCACTAAACACGTTGGTATAGAAGCCTCCACAGGGCAGACCTGAGTGGCTCTGGCATACTGCGATACACCCAGACGGGTAGCTGAGAGTTCAGGGTCAAAGATCAAAAGGTCAGCTACAGTGACACATTAGCCATATGCCGTATCCTGCATTTGCTTCTTGTACAACCACTAGAATTAAAATAGTTATGAATAAACACGAGAAGGATACTATATGAATGAGGAGCCGTCG